GGGCGAAGGTTGGGGTGTGGGCCGCCTGGAAGGGAGTCTGCGACTGGGACTATCACTGGGTGTGTGCGCTCATGTGCACTTGCCTGAGTTATTCAATTTGTGGCATCAAGCAAATTGCAGCCAGCCACAACAACAGCAAAGGCAACAGCAAACAGCAACAATGACAGCAATCACGGTAGAAATGACGGCAGCAGCCAAAACAGCACCAGCAGCAGCAACAACAATCAGCGGAAAATTATGTGGAAAACGCGTTGGAACTTAAATTGAAATTTAATTGGCATACGCATCGATAATTTTTACAATTATTACAACGTTTTATTATTTATGCGGACTTTGCGCTTGTCAATTAGTCAGGCTAGTATAATTATGCTTGATTAAGAATAAATACTATATACCATATATAATCAACCGAAAAATTGCAATTAATGCATTAGTTGCGCGATTTAAATTGCATTTGGAGTCATCTCATTAATATTGATTTACCATAATTACGCCATCGCTATCGCTATCGCGATTCAATTCATTTTATATTCTTGCAAATAGTAAATAAGCATTTAATGAAGGTATACGAGTATTAAAGATGTGCATAATGAAATTACAAACAATGCAAATATATATATTTCAACTATTCAGTCAAAGAGATTACCAATATGGCAGGTGGGGGGTGGGGAGCTGTGCAAAGTCGAGACGTAATACAGCTTTAATCTTTGCATGTTAAAGTGGCAACAGCAACAGCAAAAAGGACGAGCACCGTGCGATTTACAGTCAAAGTCTGAGCATATACAATCACACTAAAATCGCGCATACGCCGCGTATTCCCAAAGACGCAGCAGAACTTCGCATTTGTTTGCCTTTGAGTGGCACATGCGCCGCGCCGCGCCGCGCCAGTGCCAGAGCCAATGCCACACTTGGCACTTGCTTTTATTTTACCCTGGGTTACTTTTAATGCCCGGCCATGGAGGACAAGGCTCCAGAGCACCCGGGCGCGCACACAGAGAGACACACATCAAGCAGCTTATTCCCAGTGCACGTCCTGGTCTCAAAGCGTATGTGAGTGCGTGTATGTGTGCGTGTAAGTGATTATCTACCTGTAAAAATGGCGTAGAAAATAAGAGCTAATATTTACATGCTCAGATGCTCATTTCAATGTTCACAAGGCCCGAAAAAGCTTACAACTAATCACAGAAGAAAATTATAATAAATCAGAACAAAGGAATCTTCTGGAAATTTAATAACACATAGTAACCAACAAATAAAAACATACCAAAATATATTGACACGTTTTAAAGACGACAACCTTCTTAGATTCAGTGAAATCTCCTCAAGTTAATGGACTCTTTCAGATAACTTCTAGCACCACAAGTTTCTCTGTATGTAGAACTTTAAGTGCAGCTCGCTAGATTCCCCGCGGTAAATCCAATAAAATCTAATGAGACTGCAGCAGACAACAAATCGCGTTATTATCGCCAGGCAATGACCAGGGGGAAGGTACACAAACAGCAACAGTCATAGCAGGGGCAACAAAAACAATAAAAGTAGCCAAAGTACAGACCAATAAAACCACCGCATAAAACTAATGTTAAACAATTCCCTTTTTCCAGATCCTTTCCCTAGTTCTTTCCCTTAGCTTGCTTTCCGTTTTTGTTGCGTGAGTCCTGCTTTGGTTTGGCTCGGTTTTCTTCTACTCAGCTCGTTTGGCAGGGGCTGTCATCGCCCAACCGCCCATCGTCATCGCAGGCCCCTTTAGACAATGATGACTGCCCCAGAGCACCCGAGGGTATGCAATAAAATTGCGTTTTAATGCTGCTCAAACGGTCGAGCAAGAACCCATTTACAATGCTGCTCGAGTGCCTGTCTGTGCCGGGCTGGGTACTGGTACTTGGCTGCTTTTGAATCCCGGCATACTCTTTCGAGAAAAAGAAAAACATCGGAAACGAATTTTTCTTTGGCAAAACTGTGCGGCCAGTTCTGATTGACTTAAGACCACATTGGCAGATCTCCTAGCCCTTATTCCTAAAGCTCATGATAAACTACACTCCATAAAAAAGGACAGACTTTAGGCCTGAAAAGCCTAAATGCCGATAATGAGAACTTCATAGAACTTATAGTAGGTGTATAAAAAAAATTCAATTTGATATCATTCACAAAAATATAAGTGAAAATATAGCTGTCAACATCTGTGGCAATCTTGCCCGAGAGATTTCTGTCTGCACAACGAACTGTAGATGTAAGTCCTGGGTGGTCGAACTCGTTCCTTCAACTCGTCATTCAATATTCATATTAGTCGAGGGTATAAAACTGTCCCCTTTTGTTTAAATTTTATGGCTGCCTTTTTATGATTTTCTGTTTGTTTGCCCTTCGCATTGTTTTATGGCGTTTTATTTGCATATTTTTTTGCGTGTTTCCTGCTACGAATCTACGTTTACCTACATGTATATGGCTTTCTTTATATGTATGTATGCATATCGTATGATTTTCGATTCCTTAGCGAGCGAATGCAAGCCGCATAAAGTCGAAAAGAATGCTACTCCCATCGGACTGATCGAAGAGCCAGCTCCTTGGTGGCTTCCATTTTGCATTCAGCATTCGATGGGGAATTCGACGAGGCATAAAATATTACCCTGCCCCCTCAAGTGTCGAAAAATAAGCAAAATAAGAGAGCGGCGAAAGGCAACGCAAAACAATTCTCAAGTGCTTCACGCTTTAAGCTTTGCGCTTTGCTCCCTCTTGCTGTTTCCTTTGTGTGTTCTGTGCATTCTGTGGGTTCCGTACTTTGTGCTCGGCTTTTGTATGAGCAGAATACTCGGCGAAATTTTCACACAAAGCACGGAGAGTTCACGGCTCCGTGTTTGAGTTGCAGCCGGAGTTCCCACGCCAGACGGCTTCCTTTGTAAGTTAATCATATATTTTTGATACTGATTCAATTAACTCCAATCCCCCATGCACTGCAGCTGGCTCTAGCCCAGGCATATCTCTCTTTATCCCAGTGCATGCGGTGCCCAGTTGCAGAGATTCCCTATGCAGCGGATGAAAATTGCATTCAAGTGATGATTGGATGCATTGTGTGCAAAATTGATGGATATGGATGGATGAATGGTTGCGTGGATGGATGGATGGATGGCCACGAAATTGGATAAGCTGATGCTAACCGGAAGTCCATGCCGCCGCATTCGTTTTCAATTAATTTTAATTTTCAATGCTCGAAGGCAATCAAATGTCACATTAGGTTGAGTTAAGTCTTAATAGTTTTAATAGCATTGTAAACTGCGTTTTCCCTAGTTCACATGCGACAATTTTTACCTAAAACTGATTACCTTATAACAAACTATTTAGTAATAGTATTTTAGAGTCACAGAATATTTGGTAAATAATCAAATATTAAAATTCAAACCAGATTTTTGGGGACCAACATAATAAAAAAAATTAAAAATGAACACATGGAAATATTTATGTTAATTTTCATAAATTTGATTGTGTACGGAAGAGGAAAAACAACAAAAGGGTTATTAAATTCATCAATGCGTACGTATGTATGTATGTATGTAGAAATGCATGTTGTATATGCAACATAAATCTCAATCTAGAATGCAGTTCACATAAAAGAGCAGAGACAATAGCCGTATCGGGCTACATAATAAACCCAACAAAATAGTTGAACACATTTAAGCGCTCTCATAGATAAGCCACACACACACAAATATACATACATACATATGTGTATGTACATTCGTACATACGTATGTATGATGTGCGAGTATCTGGGTATCTTTGAATGCGACATGAAAATAATCCCCCATGATTGAAGCCGAACCGAACCGAATAGAGTGGAATATGGCATGGAATAGAGCAGGGCTGAACTGCACTGAGCCGGGTCCGGCACGCAATCTCATGAATCTGGGCAACTAATCAGCGTTTGTATCTAATAAGCCGTTTGTGGAGGAGGGCGATGATCGTGTAGCTGATGATATGATGGCATACGGTACGATGATGATGATGGGGGGGAGGTATGTATGGGTTAAGTGTGATAAATCGACAGTTGAGTTAAGCGAACTGTGTGCGAGAGCTCCCCAGCATGGGATGGGATGGCTTGGAATGGGATATGGACTGACTGAGGGAATGTGTCAAGGCAAATCTAGAAAAATATTTATACGCAGCACTACTGCAAATTAAGCAAAAGTGATGCCACACACACACACACATACACATTTGTATATTCGTGCCCCACTTGGGGACACCATAATCAAGAGAAATGAAAGTGGAAGCGAAGAAAGAGGAGCGCCACACAACAGTGAGGCAAGAGACAGAGAAGGAAAATAAAATAAAAGTGTCTTTTCATCAGAATTTTAAATGTGCCCCAGCTCTTGGTTCTCAGTTCTCAGTTGTCAGTGTGGGTTGCCAAAAAGAATGCCCATGTATTGTGTATAGTGTGTGTTTGTGTGTGTGTGTGTGTGTGTGCCCCGATGAGAGTGGGTACAGGTGTGCGCGTGAGCCCACCGAGCGGAAGTTATGGAGCCTACGTGCCCCACAAAATACATTTCGCCGCCGCTCGATGGATGGGCCTCAATATGGGCCAAGCGGGCAGACATTGAGGCAGCCCCAAACAGCAAAACAGCAAAACAGCAAAACAGCTCAACAGGGAGAGGACGACGCCACTCGATAAACCACCAATACCAATGACCAGAACCGTGTATATACATATATCAGTATATATGTATCCATCCATACATATATATGCATATGCGTGTGTTTGTGTAAACAGACAAATTATGAATTTGTAAGACACTCCCGCACTTCCTCCCCTGGCCCTGGGCGTTCTTTTTCGCGCTGTTGTTGTGTGCGGCCCAAAATTGCTGAAGACTTTACGGATCACGGAGCTCATCAAAAATCGTTAAATGCGAAAATCGAACAACAAAAAATGGTGAGAAGGAGGCCGAAGTTCAGGGCCCAAAACAATGCTGGAGGATATAAAATATATCCTGCCTCCTTCCTGGAATACTCACCTCTGTGGGCTGTAGCTGGTACCAGCTGTAAATGCTGAAGATATTTCACTCCACTCTCACAACATGTCACTGTTTGCGTTACTTTTTCTCAAATATTTCCAATATCTCTAAAACTGCAAGATATATGTCGTACTATGTAGTAATAGGAGAGATTTGTTTCGGTTGCACTTCACTTGCACAGAAGGATTCGAAAATATTCAGCTAATGAATATCTTTCTCTGCCTATGTTATGCCATATGCATGCAGGCATCTACATTTACATATACAACTACATATGTATATATGTATGTGTGTTTGTTTGAGAGCTGGCCAACACAAAGGCAGAAAGAGAAACACTCTGGTTCTGGTGATGGCGCTGGTGCCTGTGGCTCTCCTTTTGAAAATGGAATTGGAAGTCTTCGTTTTGCTTTACTTTACTTTACTTTATGCTGTTGCCTGCTTTCTTCTTGCGTTCTGTTCTCCTTGCTTTATCTGAAATTCGCTTGTATTTTGCGCACTGAAAACTACTGCCGCTTGAGAGTGGCTGGCAACGCGCTACGTGGTTCCCTGCTGCTCAAAGCACGAAGCTTGAAGCATCATGGACACGGATGTTGAATATAAACTCATGTATAGATTTGTATAATTTTTTTTAGTTGATTTTTTTCTTCGCGAAAGTATTTAATATTTGATATTTTTTGTGGAATATATGAGCCGAACTATTCTGAATTTGGTTGAATGCGCCAACCGCCAAGATTAAACCAAATATCTGTTGTGTCGTTGTCCGCGGCCGAGAAAATATTGAAAGATTGAGGCAAGCCCACCAATATACCCACCATCAGAGCCGAGGGAAAACGAAGCCTAGAGAGCCGAGTGGTTTTGTTGAGTGATTTGTTTGTGATTCCTGCTTAGTTGAGTGTGATTTTTAAGGGACGAAGCGGGCATCACGCTCAATTCCGAGTCGGATGGAGCAAAAGAGAGCGGCGTCGAGAGAGCTAAATATATTAAAATGGAAGAATAATATAACGGAGATAAAAATCTACTGCGACTGTTACGCTCTCTCTTTCACTCTCTTTATATTTTTGGCAAAAAGCTTTATACGTAAGCTCTACGATTTAGCTTCGGAAATCGGGTACGCTCTCGGCGCCCGCACCTCTTCGACACTTTGCGGCATTTACTGTTGTTTCTGTTGTTTTTCTGCCCCACGAAATTTCATTATCTCGAGTGGTCGTTTGTTTATTTATTTGTCAAGCACGCTCTCGGCTCGGTAAATGTTATTAATGCCCTATTGTTCTATTGGTTTGCCCATGGAAGGGCTCTAATGATGTTTAAACAATTGCATTCGCACTACTTCTTCTTGAAGTCTTCTACATCTCCTGCTCCATCCACTTGTACGAGTACGAGTGCGAGTACTACTGGATCGAAGATTACACTTTGTCGATTAAACACGTATCACCACACATACATATGCTCAATGTACATGGGCCTTATCATCAATTGTTTGTTTTTGTGGCTACCACCGTAAGACCCCCCAAAAATCGATCACGCTGTTCTGTAAATATTACTAGCCGTACCTATACCCGTACAACATCGTGTACCAGCTCTCTCTCACACACGTAAACAAGCAGACACACACACACACACACAAACACATACCTCTGCTTCAGCTGTTTTGCGCCGCAAAGTATGCTAAGCCCACAACATGTACAAGTATTTACCGTATTTATTTTGCAAGCATTTGCCACTGATCTGATCGAAGCGAACCGTCACTGAAAATGTCACTGGCAATCACCTCCTTTCTCTACAACGGCTCTACTCTGCACTTTTCGGAGAGGACCGTACAGACCGCCAGCTAGGTATCAGAGCCCCAATCGGAATTACCGTTCTCTGTGCGGTGCGACGACGAAATGCGGAGAAAGTAAGCGTCGGCGTCCGGGATGAAACGATTTTTTTCTTGTACATGGAGGAAATTTGATATGAAAACATTGACAAGCGCCGCAATGAGCTTTCAGCCTTCAGCTGTGTGCAAAAGTTCTCAGTAACTGTTATATGCAGCAAACGAAAGCTTACGAGTAAAGAAGTCCAATCAAAATTTGTTTTCAGATTCGATTGAAGTAACGCAAATTACATAGTTCTCGAAATCCTCTTAAGTCTCTAGAGAGTTTAGAAAAATATAGAACAGGTACATGCGACAATAGGTATGTGTGTATTGAAGCTGTTAAAAAAATATATTGTTGTAAATACACACGGAGAATGATACATATGTATTACATATGTTCATACCGATATTTAATTTTTATCTAACAATCTTTAAACGTGTTGATCAACTCTCTCCGTATCTAGCTGAATGCTCTTTATCGGTAAACTCGGACACTTGTCAAGCGGCGTCTGATTGAATTACCAAACTTATCAAAGTCATACCTTTACCTACATACAATTTATTTTCTTATATTTTTTAAAGCAAACTTTTCAAATTGGAATTTTTGTGTATTACATGCATTTAGTTTCCTAAGTGAAACAATTATTTTACATAATCGAACAGCTGAAAGTGTCACAGCAGCCAGGTGAAAATAGTTTCATAACAGCTAGATGTACTGGCAGAAAGCAAAAAGTAAAACAAATTGTATTGGTATACAATATATTTAAAAACTGTGGCATAATCGAGGGAGGTATCAGCATCGAACAGCGTGCCTACTTATAAAATTCTATAATTCTGGTGTTTAAGCTGTAATTTAAATGAGAAATTCTAGTTTGAAATGTATACCTCTACAAATCGTAAAATACTTTGAAGAACAAAAATAAAATAAATAAAAAATAGAGCAAGATTTAAATAAACAATATTTTAAACAATACCTTTTCATATGAACAATCGGAAAATAATATTTTTCGAATTTTCTTGAGTTTTAGAGAAATTATTTATGCGGATAAAAAACGCTAAAAAATTAAAAATTTTGCAATTGGAAACAATATATGAGCTAAACTGTAGCTATGGCGATTGATAGCTGCATTTACTAATATTTAAAAATTGCAAAGATCTTTAGAAATAAAACTTAAAAAAACTTAAAGTTCAAAAAACTCTTTAATGGGATTAGGAAATAAATTAAAATTTACGAAAGTAAATTTCTTGTTCACCTTCTATATTTATACCATGCGATCGTATGGAAAGTGAGACATGCATTTCTTTATATCTACATACATACAAACATATGTATGTAAAAATTACTTGTTGCGCCGGTTTGTGTTGACTTTGCCATACATACTCTCGTAGTCTCTCGTGCCTCTCGGACGTCGATCTCTCAGTAGCTGCTGAATCTTTAGGTTGGTTGGTTTGGTTTTTGCGTGCTCTTGACTGTGTTTGCATTGGTTTTGATTGCCTTACGTGGGTGCGCGGTAAAAGATTATTTATAAATTTCACGCATAGTTGCGCGTACAGCGATTAATTGCCTGAATAACTGCAAATGTGGGATCCATATTCGCACTGTCGGGCGGGCGGGCGGTCGGTCGGACGTTCGCCTGGCTAATTAAAATATTCGAATCACTCCGAGTGTTAACTGTGCCAACCGGTTTGTTGTTGTTCCACAATTGTTTCACTGATGACTTAAGTCGGACTGCGAAGACACACCCCAACTACATAAAATATTAGTACTATCTGTGATATTTGCATAATGACGACATCTATCTGGAGGCCTCCCCCTGTAATCAACATGATTCTCTAAGCGAAATCTCCAAACAAAACTGAAATGTTGCCCTGACCTCAGAGCTCCCTGCTGGGAGGCCTTCTACTTTCAAGCTGCCTTCTTTGGGCAGGCGCGTCGGCGACAATCAGAATCGGCTCTGACGCTCGAAAAATATACCAAATAGGTCGCTCGAATGCTTGTCACGAACTTGGAGGCTTCCAGCTATACAAAAGTGAAATCTAGCTGAAAGAAAGCAGCCATTCAAATGCAGTTTCGGGAAAAAACATTGATAGGAATGCAACACAAGTAGAACGATAGAAGAATAGTGGAGACGCCATCAAAAGAGGGGAATTCTAATGGGTTGTGATGATCGCTGACAAGATGCGCAATATGTTCAGGCCCTCTAAAAGGCATCGCTTTCATTTATCTTATCTTGCAGCTCCAATTACGTCGAACAAGCAACTCTACACATCAAGATGCCCAATCCACTGTGGTTTATTTTCTGGCTGCTGGTCTTCTGGTTCGTCTCCTTCTTCGTGGCCTTCTTCTGCGCCTTCTTCTACATCTGGGTCTATGCATTTGCCTCCTGCATACCCGCCCTGTCGGTAAGTTCAGGGAGTTCCAGAATAGTGTGGGGTGGGGTCGCCTCGGGTCTAATTCCTCAACGGTGAGGTCATCGCCACTAAATAGGCGCTGCATGCGGCTGTTGCTTATCGCAGCCAAGTAGATTTCTTCACAATTACTCATGTGTCATAACTTATCGGGGGGGTACTAAAAGGGGCTTTACGAAAAATGTGTGCAAACACGATAACATTTAGGTAGATATGTACATATGCTCTACCACCAGCACCACAAGCACTTGTTCATCAACAATATCTTTCCGTTTCTTTATCGTTCACAGGGCATAGCGGATATGCTGCTCCAGGGCGTGCAATTCCCGTTCTTCTGCGGCAAGGCCATGCTGGAGGGGAAGCCCGCCTTCTAGGGACTCCTTACTTACATATATTTATAAATAAATCTTATAACTAAGTGAATAATTTATAACACTTGCTTTGGACAATATTTTACAATTAAATGTAATTAATTACTTTTTATAAAACCGATCGATCGTCTCTCATTGAACATGCTTTGGATGATACTTACGTGTGGAAAACAGCACTCTGCACTGAAGTTTACTATAACAATTAATAAATAAATTTATTAATGAAAATCGATTAACAAACTTATAAAAACTGATGAAAGCACCAGAAACTCTACTTTGTCAAAGTCTACTGTACTGGCGAGAGCAACTTGAGCCTGTTTTGAACTGATTCCATGGGTTGAGTGGGCCGTGTCGCATGCGGCGAGCTACTTCGTCGTGGATGCCACCGTTGCATTTTGCTGGCTGCTGCCAGGAGTATCAGGGGTAGCCGGTGCGCTGGCGGCGAGATCGAGACTAGGTGGAGCGGCGAGCAGGCAGTCCTGATCCTGGTCACTGAGGGCACGCAGCTCCAGCTCTCCGATCAGCTGCATGACACGGATCTTGCCCTCGGTGGCTAGCTTTGGCGGTAGCGACTTGACGGTGGCGCAGATGCTGTCGAAAAACAGCTCCAGTGAGTCGCGCGGCGGGGTGATGGGGGATAGGTGCTGCAGCTGGTACGACTGCAGCTGCCGGGACGCGTACGACTGCGGCAGACGCGTGGAGGGCGTGTAGCAGCTGCCGGAGGCTGCAATGGGCGTGATGGTAGCCTTGGACGTAATTTCATGAGACTGGGCAACGTTTGGTGGCGTGCTGGGTGCGGCCATCTGTGCCACGTTCGCCGGCACCTTTTTGATGGTGATGCGGCATGGCTGCGGCACCGTGGCAGCCGGAGGAAACGGAGTGCCGGGCAGCAGCTGGTTGGGCAGCTCGTTGATGGTCACGTGGAGAGGCAAATAGTCCAGCATGCCGGAATGTTGCGAATCACTTTCGGATATGCGCCGCTGTTGCTTGGAAGCTGGCTCGGTCTCGTTATCATTCTGGGCATCTGCATCTGCTTCGCCATCTCCATTTGGGTCAGTGTCGTCGTCGTCAACCTCCGCATCGACATCGGCATCTCCATCCCCATCAGCGTCAGCGTCGGCGTCTTCATCATCGTTCTCTTCTTTCTCGTGGCCTGCCCTATAGCTCTGCAACAGACCCTCCTCCTCGTCGGTGTATTCCCACTTCATGACCCCGGACGCCTCCTCTGCGTCAGCCTCGGTCTTTGGCACCAAGGACTTGCGTTGTGAATTTTCCGAGTGCTTGATGCTGCCCTCGTGCTTGCCCAGGTCGGAGCGCTTGCAGCTGAGGCGACACTCGCAGACCGCGCAGAACACAAAGTGTGGATCCGTCTCGTCCGGCAGTAGCCATGGGTATATCGCTTGGTATTCCGGTTTTGTTTTCGGTCTCGGGTACTTTAGAAGGGCGCACGGTCGACGTGGTCTGTACTCTGAGCGCAGGGCATCGCTGTCGAGAAATGTGGGCACGGATAAGCGACAGTCGAGTGGCTGCTGGTTATGAGTACTTACAGTTTTTCCTGAGTTAACTGTAAGTTTGCCATTAATGCAGTTTTTGCAAAATATAAACAAATTTGAGTGCAGTATTAGGGCTGCAAAACCATCGATGGTACTGTCGATGGCATTGATAGTTTTGCAATTAGTTTTTCAATATATCGTTTGAGGGAAAAAGTAGGATTTGGTAATCCAGAAAATTAATGTGTTCAAAAATTAGTTTTCACAGACTAAATATAATTAGCAAAAATATTTTAAACATTTTCTATAAAAATAGTCAATATATCGATGGTTTTGCAGTATGACCGTGCGTTGTAAACAGCCAGAATCCTGCAACGTTGTTGTTTTTTCGAAAATTAAACCAATTCTTCAAGTGCATCTTTGCCAAGCAAAGCTCCATTAACATTAGCAGTATAATTAATAAGTGTGCGCATTGTGTGTGCAACATTTTCCATACAATGTAACTATTTGTGCGTGAGTTCAAAATAGGCGGGAACATTGGGAGGCAAAATATCGACGCATATCGATGGAATGCAGCTTGGCGCACGAGCAGTATCGATTGTTGTTTTCCCTCTCCAGCCAGACGCATCTCGAGTGCAAATTTGACTCGGTGTATTTTTTTTGTTAAACTTTTTAAAGACGGATTGCTGTGATTTTACAATTTTTTGATTATACAACTGCGAGTGCCTGCGAGGCTTCTCTTGATTGTAATGGATGAGCAAAGTGCACTGGGTGAAAAAATCGACCAGACAACCGACACCGGCAACAAAATGGCGTCTGCGGATGCGAACTCGAAGACGACGCAGCACGAGCTGAAAATCATGGATGTAGAAGGAGCGATGGACACCACCGACGTCCCACTGGTTATAGAGGTGGAAGACTCAGATATTGAAGAAACGGCCGACAATGCACACGTGGTTGGAGGACAGCAGACGGCGCTGATTAGCTCTGCAGCAGAAGATGAGAAGCCACTCGATGATCCTCTTGTGGAAGACAAAGAAAATATGTCCACCAAAACCGAGCTGAGCAGCGACGTGGAGAGCAACAACTCGTACGTTGACCCCATGGGGCTGCTCGAGCGCCTGGACAATCATGGGGACGCGGACAGTCAGGATGATGAAGATGACTTTAGCATGGATGATGGCGCTCCTGCTGGCACATCAGCCCGCACGCTCTCGTCAGCAAATCGCTGGCAAGTGTGGATGAACCGCTGGCCCTGGCTGCTGCACGAGGACAGTGATGGCACCTACGCCTTCTGCCTCTACTGCAACATAAAACTCAATGTGAACAGAAAATCCAAGCACATCCAGCAGCACAACATGTCGCTGTACCATCAGGAGCGGGAGACCAACTACCTGGCCTTCAAGGAAAGCGAGAAGCTGGCCCAAGCCGCGTGAGTATTCTTACCATATTTGTGACGCCAAGTTGTTTGATTGTTGACTTTTATCCTGGGCTTTTTCGCAGCACTGGCGAGCAGAATAACGCCGAGGTCAAGCACGAGTTCGGCACCAGCAGCTATGTGGCGGCCATGAAAGAGAAGCGCGGCAGGGAGATTGATTCGTTCAACGACTTCAACTGGACGCGATGGCTTGCAGTGCACCCCTGGCTGGAGCGCTCCCAGCCACAGGGTACACTTGGCACGTGTACGTGGTGCAACGTGAAAATGAATGTGGAGTTTGTGTACCTACGCAAGCGGCACGAGGCCTCCAAAAGCCATGTAGAGTTCGTGCGCCAGCAAGGAGTCTTTCTCAAACAGTCGCTCAAGCGCAAGCGCACTGCCAGCACGCACCAGCCCCCTGTTCCGCAGGAAGAGGAGGAGGAAGAAGAGCCAGCGCCACGGCAGAACAGCACCATTGTGACTGTAGTTGGCGGGGACATCGATGCCAGCAACGATCCCAGCCAGTGGTGCGAACTCGTTGGTGACACGAGTCCCCAGCAATGCCGCTGCACCCTCTGCAACTGTCAGATGGCGATAACTAGCTTCTTGCGTCACTGCAAAACCAAAGTTCACTGCCAGAGCCTCTATCTCCACCAGAATTCGGATAGGTGAGAAATGCTCTGAACTATCTATGCCCCAGCCATACAGCCATATAATCCCATTATGTTTACTGTCCTTCAGCTCCATGCTAAATCGCGGAATTTGGGCGCATTACTCCGAGCTGCACCCCTGGATGGTAGCAGATCCTGATGACGCCAGCATGGCGTATTGCAGCATCTGCTGCAAGCGCTTCGTGTACGGGCACTCTGAGATCAAGCGCAAGAGCCACGAGAACTCCGAGAAGCATCTGGCGGCCGTTGCCGCCAACAAAGCTGCTAATGGCGGAGTCGCAGAAGCGGTGGAGGAGGAGGAGCAGCAGCCCAGCGAGCCAGCCCCATCGGTGGCACGCACCGAAAGCGAGGGCAGTGATGGCGAGTACCAATTGGATGAGGATGATGAAGACTGGTCCGAATCGCATAAGGGGTACGTGTGCTCTATAAATAACTAGCGATCTGTCACAGACCTAACCATTTGGTGTACCCGACCCGTAGATATTCTGCGGAGCAAACGAGCCCCTGGAAGCGCAGGACAAGGCCTGCGCCTCGATTTTATTCTTGGCTGCGCTACTCCAAAGATCGCAAAACACAGATTTGCCGGTTCTGTCGCGTGCGCTTCTACAACGAGTCGAGCAAGGCGCGACACGAGCTCAGTGTGCGCCACAACAAGCTGGTTAAGCAGCACAAGTTGCGCCAGGGAATGCTTCGCCAGGAGAACCAGTTGCAGGAGGAGCAGAGCAACACGGACTCTGGGACCATAGACGAAAAGTCAGCCATGCCATCCAGCAAGATCGGCAACACCATTCCGGCCACAATGAAGGGCAAGGTGATGGTATGGAAGGAGCGCTACCCCTGGCTCTCCTACAAGCGCAGCGAGCAGCGCAGAAACTACGGCTGGTGCAAGCTGTGCGAGGTGTCCGTCTTCCTGCCCACCTCCAAGTACGCGTCGAAGCATCAGCGCTCGTCGCGTCATGTGCGGCTGCGCATCGAAAGGAAACGCACGGGTGACAAACCGCCAGCCGCAGCGAACAAAGACGTCATATCCGCGGCGGTCGCCACTGCGGCAGCGTTAACCAGTGCCGATGCCAAGCAGAAGGCGGCTATGGCAGAGCTGCAGGCCAAGTACGATTGGCTGGATCCCGATGCCACCGATGAGAACCACTGCAACTGCCGCATCTGCGAGACCCGGCTCCCCATCAAGGTGTTCTTTCTGCGCCAGCACGACTCGTCGCGAAAGCATGCCGATAATCTCGAGAAATATAAGAGCAACGCCGCGGCCACAAAACCCTCCTTGGCCGCTGGTGCTGCGGCCGAGATGCACGATCACGGCTTGGAAGTGGATCAGGACAGCGATGAGGCGTTGAGCGTCAAGTAAGTGAATTGGAATCGTATCAATGGGAGCCATCACTTATCATTTTGCTCACTTGTTTCTAGATCTGAGGGCAGCACGACGGGAGAGCCGCCGTCGAAGCGTTCACGCCGCTCGATGGAGGTGCGGCGCATCCTACGCGTACTGCGCGACTCAGTGGGCAAGCGATCGGACGAGCGCAGCCAAATGGACATGGCCAAGGACATGATCTGCTCCTCCTTCGACATTGTGACGCGCCTTCGCAACCTGGAGCGAGACGCGGGACCGCAGATGGATTCCACGGCGCTGGCGCCGGGTTCGCCCAATGTTTCGATAACGTCCGTGCCACCAGGGCCCCGGCACGTTATGGATCTCTTCTTCGACAGCATTTCGCCGACTATGAAAGCCCTGCCGGCCGATCTGGCCGCCGAAGGCAAAGCTAAGATCATGCAGCTTGTCTGTGGCCTGGAAGTGCGAGCCATGCAGCGCGTCGTGGGTGCCAATGCTCCAGCGTCAGGCTCAACGGGAGCCAACGGTGTCGCCCACAGCACGGAGACAGCTAGCTCTGATGCTTCCCCCAACAATGGAGCCGACTCTTCGTCGCCAGCGCTTTCCAACTCGACCACCATATCCATAAACGATCTAATGGACGAGCACAATGCTCAGCAGAACAACAACGAAGTTGAGAAAGCCAGCCAGTCCAGCCCCATGACACAGAATAAGGGTCAGGTGACTGTCAGTGTCAATGGCTCCGCCAAGGATCTGTTGAGCAATGTGCGCCGCTATTGGCCCACCTCCATGCAGGTGTCCAGCCGCCAGGACGCCGACGCAGTGCGCTGCGTGCCCCTCAACAAGCTGACCACACCCAGCAGCTTGAACGTGCGCAAAAGTGTCAACAGCTCTTCTGAAACCACCTGCACGTTCACGCCAGTGAAGTCCGCCTCTCCCCCCAAAACGGATGCGAATAATGGCAATCCCCTGGCAATGATGCGCCAGATTCGTGTCAACAATGGCAACCAGTCCAAGATGATAACCATTTCAAAGACACAGACTGTGCCACAGCATAAGCAGCCGCCTGCCCAACAAGTGCGTCATCCCGCAGCCAGCACCAATGGGGGGGCACACATCCAAAAGGCCCAGACCCAGGCACAGTACAGGGCCGTTCAAAGCAGCAACAACAATCGCATTGTGAAGAGTCAGCAGCTGACAATCAGTAGGCCATCAAACACACACAAACCATAGGATGCTCCCATTCATACATAGGCTTAGCTTCTTGTGTACTTTCCCGACTAGATGTGGATGTTCTTCACTGGTCGGTCACGTCCCCTTCCCCTCATATTCGATTTTCATTTGCCCCCATGTAGCTTTTAACACGAATTATTCAGTTTAAAGAACACATATGTATGTTAAAGATGAATGCTGGTGCGTGTACCTACCGCTAGACACTACTCCCAGCATGATTATTATATTCCAAAATACAGTTAGTTGATACCAGTATATTGCCGATATGCTGCACGTTATATAGCCGTATAAAATGAATGATTGAATGTAATGTAAGTGATTTTGTTTTTTGTTCACAACGAGCAGCAATGGCGCAGACATTTCCATTCGGGAATGTCGCTTGAATTTATACATTATTTAAGCACTTCAAAATTGAATCGTTTTATTTCATTGGCAGACTCCAAAAGTATAGTTAGTACCTGTTCATTCACATTGCAGCCACTAGGTGGCTGCTTCACCTTAAATATGTTCTTGTTCAGTCGATGGGATCCGATCACCGCCGATCGGTGATTGGGAGGTGGCGCTGCTGCGGCTCGGCCGCCGGAAGACCATTCTGGACAACCGCTCCCGGCTTCTCGTCGCTTGTTATCGTCGACAGCTCAATTTCACGCAGTTCGCCCAACAGACGACGCATCGAGCTGTGCATGAAAGCATTCTCTGGCATTTCGTAGCCACTGGAGACGGCTGCAGGCGCAGGAGTCGATGAGGGCGACGGCGTGGTTCTGTTTAATTCCGGTTTTGTCTTGGTGCTGGACTTGTTCAGCTGCTTTTGCTCGTTAGCCTCCAGGGCCTCATCGATTGGCGCCGAGCGCGTGTGCAGGGGAAACATGAATTTCACGTCGAGAAAACTACAAAGCTCCTCGATTCCATCCAGCGTGCGACTCAGCTCTTCATTGCCCTGCCTGGGCGCCACGTGCTGGCGCACAGTTCGCAGGTAATTTTGCAGCTTGCTTCGAGCGATTTTGATTACAGTCTGGGCATTCTTCAACTCCAGCCGCAGCAGCTCTGGGCTCTGTGAAATCGTCAAGGGGTTGAGCATCGTACGCTGGATACGAGGAGAGTCACTTACATTTTCCAGGTAGCCATCCATGGCAACACGGTGAGCGTCCTGCAGCTTGGCCAGAGCAGAGGAATCGGCAGCATTGCGCTGCTGCATGTAGGTGATCTGCCGATCCATTTGACTGCTACTGGATGACGTTTCGGAGATGGTGCGGAGGCGTGGCGTTGCGCCCGACGATGAGGATGGCCCGCCAGCTGGGGGCGGGGCAGGAAGATTGTTGGTAAAGGACACACAGGTGAAGGCATTCGCTGGGTAGTCGAACTGCTTGGGATTGAGCATGAAGAGAGCATGGCGCAGCACCAAATTGACGTCCACGTTGCCCGGATATCGCATAAGATAAGTCAGCGACGTTGTGTAGTCACTGAGCAGCACTGCAATCGAGGGGGTAATTACAAGAGCAGCCAGACGCTGGGGAAATACCCACGCTTATCTCGTATGTGCACCAGCATGGCCACCAGAATGTAGTTGGGCAAGTCGAAGCGGTCGCTGTCCGCGAAAATGGCATCCCACAGCAGCAGCAGATCCAGCAGCATGAACTCGCGTCCAAACAGAAGGCGTAGCCAGCGACTGCAGCGGAGATTATTAATGCACAAACGGGTATATATTATTTCTATAGATGAGATGTCTCAAATGTAAAACGTACATCCCAAATATGTGCAGCGGGATCTCCATTTTCAGCAGATAATGGTGCAAGTGCTGGTCCTGCTTGGCCAGTATTTTGTCCCGTATGCGGTTGAGCTGGCTGATAACCTCCACCTCGGTTTGCTGCTCCGTATCGCTGGAGGCCTGAAAGAGAGCGATAAGATTCTTTGTCTGTGTCTTTTGTCTTGCATCTGCAGAACTGCACCTCGTTTAGCTGCTCTATGTGGCCGCCAGGAGTGGAAACGAGATTCGATACTCGATAGTACGACTCCACGGAGGCCATGAGACGCGAGAAAATGGAGCTGCAACACATGGGAACAGATTAGACTAATGGTTGGGGGCGGGCTATTTTCGACGACATACTATGTGTCCGCCTCCAGATAGGCGGGATCGAGCACGTTCAGCAAGGTCTCGTTTATATCAGTCTTGGCGATCTCGCTGAAGTGCAGCAGCGACTGGTGATCGCTGTAGATCACAAAGATAATGGGGGCCAGTATCTCGTGCATGCCCTGCCGATAACACATATAGGGATGCTCGCGGGCGTAGTAGAACAGGATGTTGACCATCGCGTTCTGTACGAGCGCCTTGCGGAAGAAGTCAACTCCGGGGAAGGTGCGCACCACATCCTGCCGTATCACAGCGAACAGCTCCTGGTCGCTGAAGTACTGGTTCCAGATGCTCTTCGTGGACTGCGACAAGGGGTCGTCGTCGTCGGGCACGGCCAGCTCGTGCGGATTGCGCACATAGTCCACACGGAACTTCTCATATCTACTGCGTTGCTGCTGGCGCTGGGTGTGCCAGTTCCTATGCTCTGCGTTGAGTACGCGCAGCAGCAGCGCCCAGTACACGCTGCGAAACTTGGACATCTTCAGGTCGCCATTGAAAGCGGCCAGTCGCAGTGTCTCCGGGCTCTGATCCAGATTGGCCAGCAGCTGCGTCCACTCCAGTCTATACCGTTCCACGGAGGTCATTGTGCTGGCTGCGTCGCGTCCAGATTCCACCGCTTGATCTCTCTCCTCGCGAATGTTTGTTTTGATGGCTGTTGCGTCGCCCTTTGCCTTTGGCATATACAATTTGATTGCTTCTATGCCGCGCACGGTCATCGCTTGTTGCTGCTGGCTGGCACTAAATTAATGTGCTGACGCCCTTCTGGTTGCCATATCAACGCCTCCAGCACACGCGAACTTCCAATGGGAGGGCAGGGGGTTTTTTTTTACCAAAATTCGCTGATTAAATTTAACAACAATACCGACGTTCAGTGTGACCGCGGACAAAGAACTCAATTTTGGCATATAAAAAATATTTAAAATACCATAAGCGGTCACGCTGCAGCAGACTTACCGATAAAATATACCGACAGAGAATTTAAAAAATACTGGAATTCGCACGCAAACGGTACTACCAAAATACTTGTGAATATTTTCTTCAGATATGGCAGCCACGAGTGTTGGGCCACCGCACAGTGGGACAGGTATCGGAAAACCTTCACTAAATCCATTTTTAATAATTTTCTGGAATACCTTTACAACTGAGATATTTGTCTTAAAATATATGGATGGACTTGGCCATATTGAATGTACATACGTATGCATATATCAACCCTTGCTCTCTAAATTTCTGATCCACAGGTTGTAGTTTCAAAGCGTAAAAAACATTAAAATGGCCGGTTTGAATTTCTGGGCAGTTCAAATATGTGAGAGTTTTTCTTCAAGGCATTAACAATCGTATTTGAAATTTACAGCTAAAGAAATTATCTCTTCTGACATGGCAGCATACGTATGTACAGACATACCTGTTAGATCAACACTGACATCAAGAACGGGAAACAGTCGGGCGGGAATCGCGAGGAATATTAAATGAATCACTTGAACTAAATCTGTGCACCAGGTAAAATGAAGCCCATTATTCCGCGTAAGTATCCTAAGGATGTTTTTAAGATGTACTGTACTTACCTCGATCTGGTTCTGCATTCACATCGAGTTTAATAATGTTTAAAAATGCACCAATCATTGGTGTTTTTTTCCGAAAATAAATTTCTCCGCGTTGTATGTGCTCTGCTTCACGTAGTTTCCAAAATATCAATATTTTTTGTATCTCAATAAGCACATTATACAGTCACACACACACACACACACACTGTCTTATTGAGGTCAAGTCGCTGAGTATAATATGCAACAATTAATTCATGATAATGCCAAATCAACGTCAACGGTGCGGACCCAACCAGGAAATAGAAGACAATACCGAGCAGCAAAACGAGAAGACGCGCGTCGGCGCATTAGCTCGATCCGATCCGATCTGTCCGTCCGGTTTGGTTCGGTGGCGGGCCGGGCCGGGCCAACTCTGTGGGGCTCTGCTATCAGCGGCAGAAGTATTGACCCTATGCTATGCTAAAAATTGCAAATAAACCAACCGACATTTTGCTAATGGCAATAAAGTTTTCTATTTTGATTGTGTTTATGTCTTGGTAATGCCATGACATGCCGGTCAATGCCGTTTTTTGATCTAGTCTTGAGTAATTTTTCTAATTTTCGGTTTTGGCTTTGGGTTTTTGAACTTGAGCGCTCTTTTTGGCTTTGACCCAATGACTGAGCTGCGCCAGCAGACAGCAGACAGTAGCCTGCCGTCGAATGTCGAATGATCGTCGATCGTCGACTTTGGTGGGTGGCATGGCGACCAATCGAGTGTGTCCAGCGTAATAATTGCAGCTTTGGGCATTCAATTCGTCATCTTGATGTATGACCGCCAGAGTTGCTCAATGCATTCCGCGTGCATAAAACCATAAACTTGTTAAACAGCAAAATAAATACGTACACTTGAGGTGCATTTCTTTGTTGCATGCAAATGCTGGAACCGAACCCCCAGTCCCTACAGCAAAACATGTTCATAAACAGCATAAGCGTAAGTACATGCATACAGTGTGTCGAATAAGTGTTTTTACATGGTTACAGTTCGCTCGAGCTAAGAGCCCATTACAGTTGTTTCGTCACAAAAAACACCCTAAAGAGCTAGTGCCGTTTTACACGTGCTGAATAATGGCTCGTAAGAAATCAGAAGGTAATTCTGTTACACAGTCAAAACTGCCAAAAAGTCTCTTGGTACATAAATCCAGCGATTATACACACATATGTAATTGCACTTTTGCAGAGAGAGATTGCCATAGAGGATAGGGGATCTATACCAAATCAAACCTAAGACAAGACCCACCGCTGGCAAGCCTTGAAATGGTTTTGGCTATCCAATCGCTTCCTCTGGTTTTACAAGTAAAAACACTTCTTTGACATACTGTCTACACGCACTCACATGCACAGATATGCATGTATGACACACGTACGTATATGCGTCACATTGGCTTCGATTTATAATTTCTCGGTCAAAGTCAATGTCAATGCAAATGGCAAAAACCAGCAGGCAGCAGCCAGCGTCCAGTTCGTATTCGCAATCGATGCGACGCGACGCGAGCGCCAGCCAGCCAGCCAGCCAGCCAGCCAGCATCGCATTATTAACGATAATCAGTCAATGGGGCTATCTGGCCTAGTATCACCGCTACCCCACTGCCCTCTTCTCCCTAGACCGCAGACCGAGCAGAGCAGCCATGAGTCGTGCAACGGTCCGAATGCGAACAAGTTTTGGCCACTCGCGGACCGCTTATCAATAGCGCCTGCCTTTGGGCCGAGAACTCGTTTGCTGTGGGCCCTGTTACAATTTGCTTTCGGCTGCTTAGCATTTTGTATTTCCTGATATTCAATCAGCCAGTTGAAGACGAACCGAGACAGCAACTTGATTTCGGGGTTCACTTTTTTCGTACCCTACCCAGAGGGTACCACGATTGGGTGCAGCTTCTGGATCTATTACTGTGTTCAGAATGTTCATTGAGTCATGTCAGTGTTGGGCATATCTGAATCTGGGGACTGGACAAGGTTGTATGGGAATTCCGAGCAATTAGAATCAAATCAGTAAACATTTGCCAACCAACAAGTTCTTTGGCTAAGGTTTTGTTTACTCCTCATTAATTATCGTTTCGGATTCAAGGGTATTTTAAGCTTCTTAAAGAGTTCCTATCCTTAGAGCTTCACTTTGGTTTTGGTTTTGATTTTGGTTTCTTTTGCCGCAGCGACACACTCGAGGTTAGCTTGGCGTTTGGGGTTTGTCTTCTCTTTTTTTCGCGCAACATTGGCCTTTTTTTTTGTTTTGGCTTTGTTTCCATTTACATATTTTAATTGATCGGCCCGCCCGGAGAGACACACTGGAACTTGTTTACTGTTACATCTATGCGGAAGTCTTCCATGCGGAAGTCCAAATCCACTGTCCGTCTAGCCAATGTGTAATGAGCTGTGGAAATTTAAAAATCAATTTTTAAGTTATTTTGTTTTGTATTTTTTTTTTAAATACTATTAAGTCTAACGAAAATAAAACCTTGCTCATATCAGAAGCAATGGCAAAGGTTGAGAGGTTAAATGTAAATGGGAGCCTTGAATGGAACATACATACAAACATATGTACAAATGTTTGATATTTAATTTTCGCTGGTTTCGACCGGGTGTATTAATACACTGTGAGCTCACATTTGGCCAGTCTCGTGTTGGTCAAAACTTGTTCTGTACCACAAAGAATTTCTGATAATTCGATATGCTATAAATATATTGCTTTTTTTTTATTAAAAAAGTTCTGCTATCATGCCCCCAGCCAGTGCCAGAAGCTTTACTTCACTTCGGCTTGTGTCATTTAATAGTTTTTTATTTACATTTAATTAATTTATTTCACTGGATTTGTTGTGCATTTACCCCGTTCATCAACTCAGACCATCTCTGTTTATAGTGACTAGCTGTTCTATTGGTAGGCCTGGTACCAGCCTTGACTGATTATCACAGCCCTGATGGTTTATGAAGCGGACCAACTGGTTTCCCCGAACCCAAACACGAACCCAATCGAAATAGGGCCGACGAGAATCTGTTCTCAGGCTAGGAATAAATTTGAAATTTATGTGTACGTACGTACAACGATCTGCGGTTGGACCAATAGAAATATGTACATGCATATTTATGCAAATTCCTTACACACAATGAAAGCTTAAGAATAGAAAACCCAAAAATATATATACATATATACAAACATATATCGGCGACCTGGTCGAAGGCATTTTAAAACGCCAAGCAGGTTTGCGTTCCCCACAGAATTCTAAGCAGGCTCTCAGTCTTATCGATGCCGATCATGATCGAGTTGTTAATGAAAAGATGCGAGCATTTGGTGACGAGTTCTTAGCCAGCCAACTTCCCCGGACACGCCAAGAATCTGCGACTCCAGGCATACGGAAATGCTATGGCCGCCGGCCAACCCCGCCAAAATAGAAAATCAGAGTCCACGTTGCCCCGGCAGAAATGTTTCGGGTGTGGGCGAGCAGAAAAATTTACAGGCACGTGAGCAATTTGCTAATTTGTCCAGCCTTTTGGCTTCATTTCAGTTTATGGCTTATCAATGTTTTGCATTGTTTCTGATTGTCTTTCCCAGAATGAAAATGCCAGAAAGCCTCTGTACATTGAATGGGTAATGCTCTGCGGGTGCCTCACGAGTTCTTGCCACTAATTTCGTTACTTTGTGGTCTTTAGTAGATCGTTTTTCTGCTGTTTTTCTGTTGGGAAACACTAGTGTGTTAACTAGTTGTAATGGGCCATAAACTTTGTGTTTATGTGCAGGCAGCAACATAAGTCATTCTAGGCGAGACATCACTCAGCCTTCACCGTTCATAAACTAGCAAACTTCATTTTATTTTCGGCCATTATATTATTGAATATTTAAAAGGTTATACATAGATGAGAAAATTAAATATTATGGAAAAGATTTTGGATGTAAAAATATCCTATTTCCTCAACAAAATAAATTGTGCATTATCCCCTCCTCACCAACACCCGTCAGTAATCACCAAAAAAGTTAACTAAACGAAACTTAAATAGTTCTCTATAAGCTTAACATAATTATGCTATTAAATGCAATAGAAGAGATGAGACCAACAACACACAAAAATGTTATAAAGTTCCCCCAACACTCACCAACCCATTGAGTTAGTTTTACTGCCAAAAGAATTGTCTATAAATAGCTGTACAATTTTATTATCTTGCGTTAGGCTTTAATGGATTTGGGTTGTACGAGTACTCGGATACTGGCCCGACAAGCACCTCAAAGTCGTAAAAGCAATGTTTGATAAATTGGCCAAATGAACGGCCTGAGAATCGCAAACGGGCCAACGGACACAGTCACAGTCAAAAACTAAAAAAAGAACAACAGCTTCGGCAGAGGCGTGTGCTGAGTGAAATGTATTTGAAAACAAATTTATACGATTCTACTTTATGCAGATTTCGTTGTTGGGCTGTGACAAGTGACAATGAGATCGCCGATACTTTTGGGTATTGCAAAGTCTATATAATATTCCCGTGTTGCCCTGAGAATCCATTTAGGCCGTTCTCCTTATCTGAGCCCCCATCTTTATCTGTGTGTGTGTGTGTGTGTGTGTGTGTGTATCTGAGAGTGGGTACGTTGTAACGGACATGTAATGAGGCTTTTGTTTGAGTTTGTTTTTATTTTTCATGGCACATTTGATGCGATGCGATTGTTGACGTGACATTGGGTTCTTCCTGTGGCACATTTGGCGTCGTTTTGCATAAATATTTGGTTAAAGCGATCGGAGGCACCTGGAGGAGCGGAGCCACGAATGATTCCATTTTTCACGCACTTTGCACTTGAAACCATTTGACTTTGCCTCCGCCAAGCCCTGTCACTTCAGTTGAGTCACTTGAACAACAAATTTCGAAAGAGTCGCAGGCGTGCATTTCAATTAGCTGCAATTAGTTCGGGCATCACATCAGCTCATAGTGTTGCCGCACAAGGGAAATTTCATTTAAGTTAGTTGAGGCTAAGTTTCGTTGGCTACGGCCAAAAGGTTAGGGCCATGCTCGGTTAGCCAGCATGCAGTGGATTCAGCCAGCCAGCCAGCTTGCAAAACTGCTCAAGACCCTCGCACTCGCACTTAATTGTGTAATTGTGGTTATTCAAGAACCTGCCAAGAACACGGCCTGGCCTTGACTGTAGCACGACACACAACAATCCCTGTGCCATTCCGAGATGCCGCTGCCACTTTGCAAGTCATGTGTGTCATTTTAGCCGCAGAGTCTCAATAACAGCCGCTTGGCCTACTGTTTTTTTCTTCTCACAATTACACAGATGCGATCTTCGATAAAGGTATCTTATCGAGCTGCATTCTGCCACTTGGCTGTGCACTTTTGGAAACTGCAACGCACAGTGGGTACGAACTCAGGCAACGGTCTTCAGGTGAATCATATGAAATGCCCCTTTATTTAAATAAACCAAATAACACCACACTGAGTGCACTTTGGTTTTTATATTTGTTTTTTTTTTCGCTAGTTGTGACTTTTGGTTCAGGAAATGTGTAAGATTTCCGCGAAAATTACAAGGGTTTTCTTTTTACAAATAACATGTACATATGTGCATGTACACATATGTACATACATATGTACATATCACCTTTTTTTTTTGTAAAACGGTAATCCTGAAAGTGTAAATTTTAAGTCGAAAAACATCAATATTAAATAAGATATAAAATATAAAAAAATATAAAAGTATATAAAAATATATACAAAACTAGCGGATCCGCGCGCTTCGCTGCTTACTTAATGCATTTAATGTTTAATTCTTGAGGAACCTATTTATGGAAAAGAAAAATTTGATTGTGCAAATCGTGCATTCTCAAACATTCTCTGGCTATCATTAAAAAAAAGGATGCAATTTGGTGCACGCGTTGCGGAGATAGCAGCTTACACACAGATTTTTTTCTACAAATTGATAGTATAGATTAAATTTAAATCTAATATACTCGTTGTATAATAAATATAATTTTTTAAATATTTTCTACAATATTTTTGATGCTGCGTCATATTTTTTCAACAAGCTGGCCTGTTCCCTGATGATGATGGATAACTTATTGAATAACTGTTGCCTTTCCTTTGGATATTGTATAGCATCCCATAGCATCCTGGATTCCAGTATTAATTTCTTAAAACAAACACAACAAATACAAGATCCGTTCGTCAAAATGCCATTCATGTTTGAAGCTGAATTGAACTCGGAAATGAGTTAAATTAAAGTATAAATTATAACAATTAATCGTGTTGATTTCTCGCGATGAATGGCACCTTTGTGGGTGTGTAGCGTAGCCTGTGATTAAAATGTTCCCATTCAGCAAATGGCTGGACAGATATTGTTGTTTTATGACTCTTTAGTGGGCACGTGTTGAAAATAAACTCTCGTATTATGTTGATTCATATTGAAAGCAATAAAATGCGCACACTCACGTCGTATTCGGTGTCTAATGCGATTACAATCCACTTAAAAAACGTGATGCAAAACAGGTTGCTTCTTCGTTTTTTGGGATAGTGCAGGTCATCTAATCGAATAATCATCATTGCACCTTATTTCAGGGCGGAATCAAATATATTCCTCCTTAGTATACTGTTTCTAAAAACACTGGATGTGGGGACACACTCAAATTGTATGCAACTTTTATGGAAGCTCCCAGCCAAAAACCAACTAAAGTATTCACAGATACATAGCAATACATTTAAATATGATGATGATGTTTCCACTGGGAACGTTTACCTAGTACAACGCTCAAAAATGTTTTTGTTTGCTAGCAGTGAATAATTATACCGAAAATCAAATTAAATTAAATGGATGAAAAATATTCTTATACTATAGGATATTCGGATCTATTCTAAACACATTTGAAACATGTTTGAACTTTGCTAACTTTGCATTCTCTGCTGTCATTTTTACACAACAAAATATTGAATATTAATGTTTAATCTTTAAAGTCCTGATCCTACATATTGGCGAATGGCCTTCGGAGCTAAAGAGTCTGTTCTTTTATGGTAAATTTGTACAGCGAATTTATCAGAATGTAACCTAGGGAATGATTGCAAGGGAATCTTTGCCGTTTGGAGCCCTCTTTGAAGATAGATTTTTTTTATAATTTGTTGAAACATTATTGTATTTGTAACACTTGCCACAATAAAATAAAAAACAACATCTACTTGTCTTCAATCGCCTCGACTTTGGGGCTGGTAATTCAGCCGCATGATGGCCCCGTTTGACCTTCAGGCCATGTTGCCACAAGGGGGCCACGATATGAAGCCTTCGCTGCGAGGTTTTTGACATCGCAGAGTTGTCGTGTCGGTGTCGGTGTCGGCGTCGGCGTCGGCAGATGGCAAACAATTTTAGTTGCCGCCACTAAACAAAATTAGACACAACTCATTTCAACTTTACGCTGGGTGTGAAAACCCAATATTCGTCAAAAACCACAATAACAACAACAAAAACAACAGCAAAAAACTGTAAACATATTTTCGGGTCGCTGGGGCAGGGGCACAGGTCTGGGTTGGTATGCGGTAATTGCTTATCTGTTTGTCCAGAGGCCTCTGAGAACTGACTCGAGTAAGGTGCGAGCCAATTATTGGCCCATTTAATCATATGTGTCACTTCGCTAGCCAAATATTGGTGCGGACTAAACAGCAATTAAAAGTTGGCCATGCGACAGGAAAGAAGGAAAACAAAGCCCATTAGAATCTGTGATGGTGATGAGCTTTGGACGTCAGGGCGGATCAGACGGCGGTGAATATGCATGGAGCATGCATGGCAAGGCAAGGCCAAAGTGGCAAACTGGTTAAACGGTTTGGCATCTGACATACATCGCGTAATATATGGCCCAGATCCGGAGTGAATTAAGAACATTATATAATGCGGATTGTGCGGCTAGTGCGGATAACAAGTTTTCATACAGTAGGGTTCATTAGTAAGCAGTACGAAAAAGAAATCACCGCCGAAATGCGAAAGACGTGCTCGCTTGACCGATAGCCGATGCTCTGATGATCTGCTTGACCCGCCACTGATCCGCCACTGATCCGCCACTGCGCTAAACAAGTACGAAAAGCTGGCCAAAAGTTGTAGGGCAGGTTCAGTTCGTGCGAAAGAGAGAGAGAGAGAGAGAGAGAGAGAGGCAGCCTATCGTGAACTTGGCCAAATCTTCGCAAATGCGCGCTCCCTATTTCGGTATTTCCCCCTTTCCTGGTGGAAAGTGTAAGTGAACTGAAAATCGCAACTAGATTATTCTTTGACTTTGATGATCTCTCAGCCCCACACACACACACACACACACTAGCCCCAGAGCCACGCGCCGCTCAAAGCCAAAAATACAGACACACAACACACACACACACACACATAGGTAAGCACATGCTGAAGCATAAGCGACCCCGGCCCCGTCTTAACGAGCGAGCGAGCGATCGATCGATCCGAGCACAGCAGCAGCAGCAGCAGTGGAGCCGCCGTGGAGCGAGACGAAGCAAAGAGCCGACGGCTTTAAATTTCGGTGTTGGATAACTTTGGAGACACTGTATCCGAATGCTCTCGCAGCTCATCGCGTCTAACACTCGGCTGTGCGAATTCTTTGAACTAGGCGCTTAAAAAGCACTGCCACTCGATCCGTACCCTCATACGCCGTGCATTCATCGCGCCTCGTGGACGTGCCGTGTGTGTGTGGCCGAAAGCAGCCTATAACCCTTACCCAATCCATACCGAACGAGCCTGAACGTATCCTTAGTTGCTGGATACGAAACGAACTCTTGTGTGCCCGTGTGAATTTCGGTGTTTTTGTGCCCAACGAAACGAACCAAAGTGCGTGAATTTTTTCATCCGTTTCATCTTGGATTTCCCCCAGTTGTTTGGTTGCTACACAATCCTTAAAGGTGAGTGTGAGGGCAAAATCGTTCAGGGGATAAGATGCTGAAGAACATTTCTTGAGAAAATAAAAAAACCTCTGCTACCTGTTGGTTGATGGTCGGACTCTTGACTTCGCGTTTGCGGAAGTCAAACGAGTCAGGAAACCAAATCGAAACTATCGTAAAAGTTAGAGCCGAAATTCAACCGAAAACCCGCTCGCCAAAGCATCGAAACCACTTCAAACAGACAATCAATCGGGCGATGAATCACAATCTATAGGAAATCGCATTCAGCAGAGCAGTAAAAAATATTTATGAAAGAACCATTTTGGTTTTAGGTGCTTACGCAAATCCAAATCCAAATCCAAGCAGAAGCAGAAACAGTGCCGCCTCACGTACTCCTCATAATACAATAATTATGCTACCATACCCTTAAAAAAGTCCGAGTGGAACCGTCTAGATAGATAGAATTCCATTGCTGATCAAGGCGACACAACCGAGGAGGAGGCATTGTTTGTTTCTATGGGAGAATTCCCCGAAGCGAATTGAATCGAATCGAATCTCTTTGCTCCACGCGCTAATTGCGAATGCGGCAGAAGTAGCCAAAGAATGAATATGGATGCCACGCATAATGCAAACTATCGCTATAAGCATATTAAAGCCTCCCCATCCCCGCCGTCGCATATAGAACAGTGACCAGGCCAAAGTCACGTTCCCAATCCCCAATCCCCAGTCTAGGTCTGATATTCTGAGTCCCAATGATTGGGCTTTTGATATGCGGCAGGCGTCGTGTGTTGCGTGCGCTGAACGAATCGATCAATGGAAGCTTTCTCGGTATCAATCACTGGAGCCCACAGTAGATAGAGAGCCACAGTGCGGCATTAGATTTGAGTCAGGTTCCATAGCTATTCACATTTTGTATTATATTTATTACCATTGCATTCGTCTGCGGCGCTGTCTCCCTCAATGTCTGCCTGAGTTCGACTGCTATGACGTGGTTCGCGCCACCAGCCAAAAGTTCAACCCCAAGACATGTTCGTGTCAGCGAACACACACCCTGAAAAGATCCAGAACTTTAAACCCAAAGCAAAGATAAAGTCATAGCCAAAACCCCCAGAACTTGTTGCCGCCGAACAAGATGGAAGCCTTGGTCGTCGGTGACGGCGGAGAACTCGAAACAAAAGCAGTTCTATACATAAATTTATCGTGCTTACTTAACTATGCTAATAATCCGGTAAGGATGATTGAGCGTCGGGCCTGATCCGAGCTAAAGTTAAACACAATACGAAGTGGATTCTGCCTCTCGTGCTGGTGTGGCCGCTGGCCAGTGGGGCGGCCCGTGGCAAAACTAGTTTATTTTTGGCAGCGCGTGGCTCTTGCATTAAATTACCCATGCCTCGAATTTGCCATAACAAAGGGTCAGTATTCCTCAATGGATCGATGACGATACCGAATTACCCAGCGTACCCATCAGCTAGTAATAAGCATTTATTCTAATTCTAATTAGCTGAACAAATGATTCAATGGGGCAGGCCGCTGCCACCTTTCCACCGAAACTTGAATTGAGCAGCCGTCGGCAGCGGCGTCGGCGTCGGCGAATAAATTCAAGGCACACGACTTGACATTGAACCATGGCAACAAATTAATGGCTCGAAATCTATGCGCAAAGCTCAAAACACTGCGACAGGCACAGCCACAGCCAATAAGAATACTTTTGCTTGGATCAGTAAAAACATGCACTGGCTGGGAGGTCAACCGGTTGTCTATTCTAGAGATTCTAGAGGAGGTGAAGATCAAACATTTAGGCAGCTGGCAACTGGCAACTGGCAACTGTGGAACTGGCTTCTCTGCCACACCGAGCAGGTTATTTATGTTGCAGTTGCGAGTTCGATGTGTCCAAAAGATACAAAAATTACATGCCTGGCCAAGGTGAGGCTTGCAAATCATTGCCTCTGAAGATTGCCTCTGAAGTGGCAGTGCGATCCGATTGCCATGGCGTGTTGGCTCTCAAAGTGCACAATCCTATGGCCTGACGAGCTGAGTCCGCGGCAGTCTGCGGCGCATTAGGTATCAATGAACCCTCAAGGCGCACGTATGGGCAATGTATTGCTTGAACCCTGTGACATGGGTCCGTTCATGAATTAATTCAGCACCACATAAATTACAAAGAAATTCAAATGTGCCCCCCGTCAGACTACCTCAATTGTTTATGATTTGAGCTGGCACTGGCATTATATGGTTTTGCATTTTCCATTGAACTTTCCACTCTGTTTTCGAATTGTATTCTTCCATTAGGCGACTTCCACTTCCACTTCCACTTTTTTTTTCAAAAAACATTCTCGGCAGGCACTCTTCTAGATCTTTTCAATATATCGGAAGACGTTCGTACAGAATGGTTATGCAAATATCTTAGTCTAGCAAAATTATTGATGGTTTTTTTTTTGGATTGGTGGGGTGGTTAGGGGAGTGGGGGGATTTTGTTTTTGAGCTTTGATTTTTGTTTCGGTATTCTCTTTGCGCTTCCGGCTTGCTATCTTTGTATCAGCTTCAAGTATCATTGAAGCTGGCTGCTAACGGCGAAGGTCGCGCGCTGATGATGAGCCAGCAGCAGCAGTCACCTCAATATGGTCCATAATTAGTTGTGTGCGGTGCAGCTGGGGATGCCTTTTACGTATCTGTGGAAAGCTGCAGGAGAACGCCTGCCTCGCATACCAAATGAGTTGGTTGTTGCTGTGCTGTGGTGTAGCAACACCCCATCGTACGACCGACAGATTGATTTGCATCTCTAAGGTGCACAGATTGAGACGACAAAGGCGTCAGCCGGTTGACAGGCCATAAATCAGGAAGCAACCTGTGGGAATGCCAATACTAATGGGTGCGTGCTCTCCGTTCTCCGTTCCGATTGTCTTGCAGATGACGCCCAACATAATAGGCAGCACCTTCATACTGGCCGAGACGGCCATTGCTGATGGCAACAACAACAAGATGGCCGCCGCACCCGCTGCCTCAGCAGCGACGACACCGAAGGCCGTGAAGCAGGCGCCCGCCAAGAAGGCGGAGCAGCCCGTGGCCGCCGCCGCCGTCGCTGAGGGTGAGGCTGCCAAGAAGCCCTTCCAAATGGAGATTGTCTGGCGCAACGTTGGCCTCTTCGTTGTCCTGCACTCGATGGCCCTTTACGGTCTCTACCTGGTCTTTGCCGAGCGGGCGTACATGGAGCTCTTGCCAGGTGAGTACAGACAGAATCGAGCCGTGGAATGGCGTGACTTTTACTGATTTCGTTTGATTGCGGCCTGCAGTGTACGCGACCATGTTCCTGGGCGGTCTGGGCATCACGGCCGGAGTCCATCGTCTGTGGTCGCACAAGGCCTACAAGGCCAAGCTGCCGCTGCGCATCTTCCTGATGCTGTGCCAGTCGCTGGCCTTCCAGAACAGCATCTGGGAGTGGACCCGCGACCATCGTGTGCACCACAAGTTCACTGACACACACGCCGATCCCCACAACTCCCGACGCGGCTTCTTCTTCGCCCACATGGGCTGGCTGATGTGCAAGAAGCACCCGGACGTGACCAGCAAGGGCAAGCAGATCTCGATGGCCGATATTGAGCAGGATCCCGTGGTGGTCTTCCAGAAGAAGTAAGTTGCTCCCTCTACACATCACATCACATCGATCCCCTGCCGATTCGTTGCTGACCCACCGATCCATCCTGTTCCTTTGCAGATTCTACTTTGTGGTTATGCCCATCTGCTGCTTCGTCGTGCCCATGATATTCCCCTACTACTTTATGGGCAGCTCGCTGCGCGTCTGCTTCTTCACCTGCTCGATGCTGCGCTTCTGTCTGTCGCTGCACTTCACCTGGCTGGTGAACAGCGCCGCCCACTTCTACGGCATGAAGGCCTACGACGTGAACGTCAGTGCGCGGAACAACAAGCTGGTGTCGACACTCACCATCGGCGAGGGCTGGCACAACTACCACCACGTCTTCCCCTGGGACTACAAAGCAGCCGAGCTGGGCACCTACAGCTTCAACTGGACCACTGCCTTCATTGATGTGATGGCCAGAATCGGTACGTAGCACCCAACACTAATGTGACCAGACACAGAGCTCTCAATGGTGCCGCTTGGCTGTTTGCTTCTCCCTCCACAGGTCAGGCCTATGATCTGAAGTTCGTCTCACAGGAGATGGTGTACAAGCGTGCGCTGCGCACCGGCGACGGCTCCCACATTGCCGCCCTCATGGATGCCAACAACAACAATGCCATTCCCACTAGCGAGCTGGTGGCCCATTTGGATCACGAGAAGGAGGAGCACGCCATCTGGGGCTGGGATGACAACGATATTAGCGAGGAGGACCGCAAGGGCGCCAACGTTGTGAATAAGGAGTCCGACTGCAAGCTAGACTAAGCTGGGGGGCGGCGGCGCCCTGCGTCAGCAGTTACCAATCCTAACTAAGCGAACGAACATATTTCTTGTTTAACAATCGGGTCTGCAGTATTTAATAGTAGCAATTAGTTAATGCTCTGCCCCATACTGCCTACTCATAAGTGGTGTCTGTTAATACGAGTATGGGAAAGTCCGAGCAGGGGAGCGACGGGAGGCGAGGGACAGACCCGATTGCAAAATTTTAGAAGGGTTCCACAAGCAACAAGCAACATGCAACAGGCAACAACCAACGTCTTACAAATCAATGGCTTCAATTCCAAATACAAAACTAAAAGATGAAGAAGGAAAAACTATTCGAGATTAGTCAAAAGCAAACATTAGTAGTGCAAAACAAACAAAACAAAACAAAACAAAAAACAAAATTGTTAACAAGAATTCTGCACTTTTATTAATTTTTTACACAACCTTATCTCGCACTTGTCGTTCAAGGCTGAACGCATCTGCCACCCCCTCTCTCTATCACTATATCTACATATAAATAATTGTATATTTACGCAAGAGGTTCTAGCATTAAGTGTACCCACTAAGACACCTACTCTAAGCATCGACTTTTATGCGTTTGTACATTGTGTTAGTCATTTAGGTCAAAAGCTGTACATTTCAATCCAACGATTCCAGTTGCGAAAATTCTACAAACAAAAATTATATAAAAACTTACAAAAAATCAACAATTGTCTTTCTTTTACCTGCGATGGAAAATACATAGGTTCTGCATATCTCAGATGGAAAAACAACTTTGATAAAAGCTTTAAAATATGCAACAGACAGCCAGCCAATTATTTGTTTTAAAATACAAATATGGTAGCCATGAAAGCCTTGATTAAGTGATCAGTAGCTTAAACCACTTAAAGATTGAAAATTAAAATTTATATATATATAAATCAGAAGCATGTTTTTAGTAAATGTTTCCGCAGGTTTTTTATAATTTGTATTGTGCATATCTGAATTTTATTTATTTTTTTTTTCAGAAAGAATTATGACTTCATAGTAAGTAAAATTCTATCAAAATAAAGGCAATACCTTGGTACCAATTCGTGGATAATGCCACCCACATACGAGCATGTAATTAAAGTTTTCGCATATTGTTCTTTAATAGATTTATAATGTGGAAAAATGAAACCATAACACAAGCGGAAAGAGACAGTCTTTATTTGTAAAGGGAAAATGAGTGAAAAGTGAAGGAAAGTGAAGGAGAGGAGGAGTCACTTTCATCACGGATGGAAGAGCTAACTGTAGCTGATGTGCTGCTGCTGCTCCTCGTGGGTGTTGAACTGGGTGCGTGCGGCATAGAGCAGGGCGGCCATGAAGGCGCCATTGTTCATCAGCAGCGACATAATGGTGGCCATCTTGAGGGCGGGCAGTATGAAGGGCAGCAGGCTGCCCAGCAGGACGACGGGCAGAATGAGCATGGGAACGGCCACCTGCATTATGGTCAACTTGTTGCTGTTCTTCTTCTTGTTGCGCCTCCTCAAGAGTGAGCCTACGACGCCGCCGCCACCACCTTCGGCAGCACCGCCACCGCCCAGTAGCCCCTGCTGCTTGGAGTCACCCTCCGCCTCCGGCTCGTAGTTCTCCACGCTGCCGCTGTTGCCGCCCGCTCCGCCCATCGATGGGATGTTCATCAGATTCAGCTCCAGCTCCTCCGTTTCGCGTCGCCGGGCACGTCCAACACGCGATTTGTCAGCTGCCAGCGGAAGGGGTGGGGATCATCATTCAGCGGACAGGGCAGCGGCTCAATACTTACCCTTCTTCAGGGAGAACTTCAGCTTGTTGTCCTTGCTGGGCACGATCTTGATCAGCATGCCGGACAGGAAGTGCAGCTTGAGATCGCGATGCTTGAAGAAGCGCTGAAAGTGGACGACCAGCCGCTGATTCAGCTCCTTCTCGGACATCTGCTGGTACTTCTGCGAGATGAGGCTGCCCATCTGGGTCTCCTCGCCGAAGAACTGGTCGAGGAAGTCCCTGGTCAGGTTGCCCGAGCTCGCCATCTGGCGGCGCTCCTCCATCTTCTGCAGCACATACAGCTTGGTGCAGTGCAGCATGCTGGACTCCCGCAGACACTCGTAGATCCGCATCGGAATCGACGCCCTAAAGTATGACACACTATTCGCCGAGTGCGCCCGCGGCTGCGACGGGTTCGAGTCTTCGCTAGCCCCTGCCTGCATCTGCGCCGAGGCGCGATCGAGACTGAGGAACAGGCAGAGTCCGAGAAGGACTCGCAAGGCTCTGGTGCTGGTCGAGGTGGCGCGCATTTTACCAACTGATTTTCCCCAATGGCTTGGCTAAACAAACACAACTGCACCTCAGCAGTGACTGTGCAGAACTGAAATCATTGCCACGCTCGTGCCAACCAGCAATCCTTGGCTGCCGTCGCATCGATTTCTTGGCCGCTTTCCTCTGGCCAACAGGTTTCGGCTCGCCAACGCTCGTGTGATGCTCAGATTTAGTTTAGCGGGTCACGTTGCAGTTTCAGTTGCTGTTGCTTATTGTATGTCGCTCTCCGATCTCCGCTTGCCTTGCCATTCCTTGCCCCATTTGCCTGACTTATGGCCGGCCAATCCGTTTGTTTACCGCCAAACTTCTTGGCCTAGTCAAAATATTCATGTGTATATTTATATCCATTCACACCTGGCTACATCATCCATTTCACTGATCTGCGCTCCCATTTGTTCTGTCGCTCAGTGGGGGGGAAACCGGTGGGGTGGCACTTGTCTCATGCATCAGCCGGGTTAACTGTGTCACCAAGCAAAAGTCAGCAAGTAAGAGTAACCCGCTTCTCTTTCACTGCTGATGCTGTCTAAACATTAGAAATTAGAAGTTTTCATACCCTATCTAACGGTGGAATAACAAGGATAATTCACAGAAGGGAAGATTTCCGAACACAATTGCAATTATTTTGCTTTAAATATTTTATATGCCAGGCGCTTGGACAGCATGCCACAAATTAAAGTTCAGTTTTCAACACACCAAAAGCAGTCCAAGGAGTTAAATTTTTCACATCCGAAATTCATTTGCAAACATATCCACTGCAAGCACATAAATAATATTAATTAGCTAGTTATTAAGTGTATAATATTCTTTTATTATTGCAGCTGATATTATTTTCTGGGCATAGAAAATGGAAACCTCTAATCACAGTCTATAATAAGTAAAATATGCTTTAAATTTAAATAGAAAAGTTCGAGCCATTCCCGTTGTGTGTAAGGGTATCCAATCGATTGTGGAGTCCCCCCAAATGCTATACTTCGTTGACAGTGTACAAAACTGTTCAATTGGCGCACAAAGTGGAACAATTGAAGCCGGATTTGCGATGATTGAGTGGCTAGCTGGATAGAAAAGTGTCTCGATTAAGTGACTGACGACTGTGGAAGTGAGAGTCTAATTAATTAGTCTTTGTCCGTAATGAGACATAATGAGTGATATTCATTACACATATCTTCAAGGAGAAATCCAACCCCACTATGACCCATTTCCACAGCGATGGGAGATGGCTTCGGGACTTGGGGGACTTTGCTTTGCTTTCTTTCTACATAGGTCTGTGTGGGGGCGAGCACGTCGCTGTCTCTGCCGCTGTCTCTGTCGCTGTGTCCAAGTCGGGAACTGGCACTACGGAAGGGCAGTTAAAAGAACCGTAAATCAGCAACGCCCTCTGCTGCATACCCAATGAGGCAGAGGTTTCACTTTCCATGGGCAGGGGCAGTGGCAGGGGCAGTGGCAGGGGCACAGAGACAGACAGAGCGACAATGACAATCAAATGAAATCAATGCTTTCCATTCTTTACTTGTAATAAATAAATAATTTAAATAAATAATTTAAACTAGTCTTAAATTATTATTTGGTTGCATGCTCGCTGAGGTTGAGGTAAAATATGGCCTGCTACCAGCTCGCTTTTCTCGTCCAGTCCCGTGCCGATCTCTGACCCCCTTTTTCTCTACCACTCCTTCTCCAGCCAGACGGGCTGCTGGGTGTGCGAGTGCGAGTAGACGACGGGCACTGGAGCCGCCACTGGGGCGGCGGCATAGGCGGCTGCCTGGACGGGCAGGGCTCGCGACAGCATCTGTCCAATGGCCAGCACCAGCAGGATGACGCCCACGCCCAGTCCCTTCATGGAGACGACAGTCAGGGCCGCCAGCAGAGTAGTGATCACGCCCACCACAAAGGCTCCGGGCACCAAAGCGAAGCTGATGCGTCGCAGGAAATGATGGCCGAAGGTGCGGCTCTCTGCAAACAACAACAACAACAAAGAACAAACTGATTAGCTTCTGTCGTTATGGGTGTGGAGTTCCTTCCTGCCGAACTGACCAGCCACATCCGAGTCGGAGTCCGAGCTATTGGCAGGCTGCTGCTGCTGCTGCTGGGCCAACACCACATTAAAGGCTAGGGAGAGGCACACGATGGCGAATACAATTTTCTGGTTGGCGGCCATTTCGAGTTCTTTCGTTGGTGGTCGTTTAGTCCTTCGATTCGGGAATCTGGTAATCCGTTGGGCTCTGTTCTGCTCTGCTCTGCTCTGCTCAGCTCTGGCACTGGCCGACAATTGAATGCATGGCCCACACTCACATTGGCTTTTATCGACGCGGGGTCTGGGCCAGCCCTCTGGGCGGCTACTTGACATTCGGCAGCCGGACAGACATCGGAACGTCTCACGGCACGAACGTGCGCCAAAACAAGCAAATCGTGCCACAGTCCGAGTCCGAGTACGAGTAGAAGTATGTGTCTGTGTCTGTGTCTGCGTCTGGCTGACTGATGCCGAATCTGATGGGGGGCCACTCACTCCCTCACTCACTTTGAATATGCATGCAACCCAACATGCCGAGTGGGGCCCTTCTTGGGCACAGCGCAACGCATTTGGTGCTACATAGGAACTCGCAGCTGGACTTGGACTGCGACTTGGACATGGGCATTCTTTCACGACGCGTGTCTATATTGAGGGCAGCACCAGCACCCCTTCACCCGTCCATGCCGACGAGCCGATCGTTTCGCTTTCATTTTTCGCTGCTGGCCGATAATGATTTATCAGCTAATTAATAAACAGGCAGTGCATTTTAATTTTTAGTCAATGCCTGTAATGCCTTAATCCACGGCATAGTAACGGTCTTCCATTGATGAATGTCCGGCGGATGGCCTCACCCACACCCACATACCCTGACGATTCACTTTCATTCACGGCATACCCAAAATGATAGTACGAGTAGTACAAGTTAATTTAAGCTTTCAGACAGGTGTACAATGTGCAGTGGTTCTTTATCTGACAAACAATAAATAATGGCAGTACAGACTCGTACACGTATATGCACAGATAATCGAAATTAGTTTTACTGCACCAAAGGGTACCCGCCCAGCCGTGAATGCAGTTGGAAGTTTTCCACGGCTCCAGAAGTTCACTCTGATTAATAATTTAAATCTATAGCAATGCATGGCTCGAACTTTGTAATTATTTAATTATATATATTAAAAATAATATCATAAATAGTTCTTGCAATAGGAAAAACAGTTGCTCCATATATCATTCGATCTGTGTGATGATTTTTTGTGCTTAGCATGTTGCGACGCAGTTGGCTGTTGGATTACTATATGGTCTGATATTTATTAGTGCGGATTATCTGGACGGATAAGATTAGATCGGGGATTTTTTGATAGCAGGGACATTGATAAACGTTATCGAGGGGCATGATATTATAGTAGATATCCATACATATCTAAACGTCGCAAAGTTTGCTTTCCTTACTCCTCATTGACTTTGTTTTGGCTAATTGGCATTGGCTGGCATCACTGCTAATTGTGTGAAAGTAAATTAAGATACCTAATATGTGAAGCGGACTTTTCATGAGTGTTGTCTCTGTCACCGATAGAATTTACTTTCTACTCTGGATTTTCAGTCTGACCAGAAGATCAGCTCTCTGTGCGCCAGTTTTGTCAACAACTTTCTCATGCAATCGCCGTCAGAGTTAATTGAAGGCGTCTCTGCCACTGGCATTGCCTCTGGCACTGGCTCTGCCACTGGCTCTGGCTGTGTCTCTGTTTTTGGCCAGCCTGTGCGCCAAAGAACCAAAACATGAACCGTTAGCAGGCTACTTAAAGATTCGGTATTATTTATGGCTAATGCTGTTTGCCGATGGCGGGGGATGGGGTACGGAGGCCAGCGGCAATTACAGCTAAAAGAAATCAATGAGCGAGATCAGTGAGAAATTGCAGGCCAGGCCTACTCTAGATATTTTTTTCTTCTTTGGAACTCACTCCGTACCGGGGCCAAGACCAAGACCAAGACGTCTACGTCGACGACTGGCAATTTAATTGAAGAGGATTCTGTGGCAAAAAGCAGCACAAGAATCGTGTTCTATCGCTGGACGGGGCAACCTGTTGCTGTTCTGTGTTGGCAGCTGTGTCCCGTCCCCGGCTGCTTGTTGGCTTGCTTTGCTTTGCTTTGCTTGGGATGTGCTCAATTCCGATGCCAATTCCAGCATCAGAATGCCACTCGTCTGGCACTAGCACAAGCACTGGCAGCAGCCAGGCTCCGTTGCTCTGGCTCTGCCTGCTCTGGCTCTAGCTGCTTTCTTCTGAGTTGATAAAACGCTTGGCGGCCGCTGTTCGTGCCACATTTTGTGGCTGGCCAGTGCAGCGTGAACACTTCGAACGGAGCAAAAAAAAAAAAACCAATCACAGATCGGCAACGGGTGACATGCAGCAGAGATGAGCAGCCTAGTGAGATTCCTTTTATTGTGTGTGCTCTGCACGGCCCTGACCAGGGCGCATGATGGCAGCCAGGAGACGACCAGCGAGGCGGCCGCTGGCACGGAGGCGGCTCGGGGTCTGGCCAGTAGCTACGAGCCGGAGGACAAGCAGTCCCTCAAGAAGAACTCGCACATCTTCATGGGCATCTACAAGAACTACAAGAGCACCTATCTGGGCAACAAGACGACCAGTGAGTACAAGAAGCGTCTGCGGGATCGCGTGAGTGCATCACAGATGCCCAGCAACGAGGCTGCCGAGGGCCAGGGCCAGGGCCAGGGCCAGGAGCCGCACAGCGATCAGGAGCAGCTGGAGGCTGCAGATGCCCTGGCCCAGGAGCTGCGCCAGGAGGCCAATGCCGAGGCCCTGCTCGAGGCCCAGACCGGAACGCCCATTTACGATGACAACGAGACGGTGGCGGGCAAGAAGCGACGCAAACGCAAGCGCAAGGATCGCAACAAGAGGCGCGAGCAAGCAGGCGGCGCAGAGACAGAGACAGCAACAGATGCAGATGCAGAGACGGGATCGGGATCGGGAACGGGGACAGAGCAGCCCGAGCAGCAGTCCGAGAATGAGACGGTGAAACGCTACTTCGTGGGACCCGGCCTCAATGTTAGCCTGGACATGAGCAATGACATCGTGCACGTGAAGCTGGATGGCGAGAATCTCAAGGAGATCATGGCCGCTCGTTGGCTGAACCCGGACAACAGCGAAGAAGGTGAGTCTGCTGAATGTAGGAGCGCTGCTCAGTCCTACTGAATCCCCCCATTTGACACGTTTTAGGTCGCGGAAAGAAGTACGACATGATTACCAAAGTGCTGCCCCTGTTCATTCTGCCGTTCCTCATCCAGTCGGCCATTGTGCCGTTCCTGGTGACGAAGCTCAAGCTGCTGCTGGTCAAGTCGATTCTGGTGGGCAAGCTGGCCATTTTCCTGCTCATTATCTCGGCCATCAAGAACGGCAACAAGATGGTGCAGAGCTACGAGGTTCCATCCTACTGGGCCGGCGAGCCGAGCCGAAGATCCGAGCTGGCAGCTGCCGCCTCCTCAGCAGCCGCCGCCTACAACGGATACCGTGTGGAGGGCAAGCCAGCCGCTTGGATTAGCTAAAAGGGCACCCCGGTCATATAGTACAACAATCTCAAATCTCAAAAAAATGCATTAAAATTCGGTTTTAGGTTGTAAGTCCATTGGAATAAAAATATAGACATTGGGTTGATTGCATTTGTTCTTAATGGGAGTAGAGTGGGGCAGCCAAAGTCAAAGAGATATCTGCCATGAGGGCAAGGTCAGTTGACAGCCAAGTTCCAGTGTGGGCTGGCATGGCTTAATCTGCAGTGGTAAGTCTTTCATTTAGCTTCTTGTCTGGACTCCGCTTTTCAGCTGATCAACTGCTACATTCTACTTGGCAGTTGCTTCTTGCTGTGGCTATATCGCAAGCATTTCGACCATCTCCTCAACCTGTCGCACACGTTTTTGTTTTTAGAAAGGCAGTTTGTATTTTTTTTGTATTTAAATGAATTCCTTTAGAAGCACTTTTGCAATCAGTGGAAATGTCTTTCAAGTGCAGAAAGCTGCGAATTTAGCCTTTAGCCATTTCACTGGCTCCTAGCTGACTGTCATAAATCATTCTGACTGTAAAAAGTGCCTCAGAAAAGTGTCTGCGAGCAGTTGCACAATTTGTAATGTTTAAGTCATAAATTAAGTATTTATTGATGGTATTCGAGGTGATAATAAATAAACGATGCAAGCAAATAAATTAATTTAAATCTAGGTTTCTGTGAGGCTTGACCAGCGCCCCAGTCCCCCCTCCAACAGTGCTGTCCAGCACCTAGTAGCAGGTGAACTGCCGTTCCAGCTGCACGCAAACGTCGCACTGGAGACGGAATCCCCAGACCAGTTTGCAGTTGCAACGCCGCTCGCTGCGCACGTGCTGGGTGCGCACGCGGTAGCCGCAGACGCGGCAGAGCTGCTGGCAGGAGAGGCGCTCCTCCACGGAGCCGCTGCCATCCTTGGAGCACTGGCGGCCTCGGGTGCCGGTCCAGCGGCCGCTGGCCTCGGGCTCGCAGTAGTTCGGCGAGTCCTGCATAAAGACGAGCGAGTCGAGGGGAATGTTCTGCCACATGATCTTCAGATTGCTGGCCGTGCTGTCCAGCTGGATGGCATCGTCGTACATCTGCAGCAGGTCCTGGGCCACCGCCTCGAACGGCTTCAGCACTCGGACGCACTCCTCCTCGAGGCACTTGCCCTGCGGGCGGGGCTGCTTGCAGCGGCACTCCTGCACCAGCGACTGCTGCAGCAGCGAGCCAATCACCCGCTGGTTGTGGGCAGCGGCATCCGAGCCGCCGCCAAAGCGCTTCTCGTAGAGCTCCACGGCCTTGGCTGGCTCGTGGCCGCAGGGCACATTCAGGGCGTTCCCAGTGCAGCCGCAGCCGGCGATGACTCCGTTGGCGCAGTCCTTGGTCAGCTTGTGCACGATGGCGGCCATGGAGATGGCGGCCACATAGACATCCTCGCGCTCCAGCGTGGGCGTCGCCGGCGCAGTGTGTCGCTGGACAAAGTCCGTGCTGGGGCAGTTCCAGCGCTGCCACTTGAAGCTATCCTGGCAGCTGGCGAGCGCCTGCTTCAGGCCCGCGCCGGTGATGGCCTCCCACGAGAGCGGCGCCTGGAACTGGGTGTACTGGTAGTAGTTCATGTTCATGGGCTCAATGACGCCCGCCGCGGCACCGGCAATGGCCAGCAAAAGATTGATGATGAAGAACATATTGTGTGGTGTGTAGGATATGCCGAGTGCTTGATCTGTGTGTGTTGTCTCCGTTGTGTCTCTGGCTCGACTGAATGGTGAACGGAGGCGGCCGTGCGCATTTATACCAGGAGCCGAACGCCATCCTTGGGCCGTGCCCGTGGGAAATTGGGCCTGGCCGAAAAACCGGAAATTTGTCTTCGGTTGGGATTTTGTGGAGAGACAAAAAGTCCCAGCCTCACACAAATAACCCACTGGTGGTCCAAATTGCGGAGCAGCCCACGTTTCATCCGGACCTACCTGCTCCATGGGGTGTGGAGGATGCACAACGCGCCGCTCTCAACTTTCCCACGCTTAGGCAGGTAGGACCTCATGTGGCGCCGCCCGCGCGCCTGACCGTGCGCTCATGAATGAAATTTGCCCGATCTCATTCAGTCCGGCCGGAATTTCCCCATTTCCCACTGGACAATATATCAATGCCCGATGCCGATGCCGATGATTTGGAATCGGGTTTGTTTGGGTTTTGGATTGTGTCCGTCTGGGGTTTGTCTGTGCGCGGATTTGATCCTGTATTTTGGCTGGCGGCAGGCTGGCCGTGCAAGCCAATTATATAACAAAACATATGACAAATAGTTTTTAGTGCTGCTGGCATGGATATAATTTGGGAAATTAATTGCGCTTTGTGGTAAGCTGGCTGGGAAGAAGAATACCCAGGCAGCCAGCCACACAGGACTGTTGTTGATGCTGTTTGGTTTGGTATTTTCGGCAAAAGTTAATACCCCGCGATTAGGCCAAATGACGCTTAACACCCTTGTTCGTAGGATGATACAAAAAAAAGGGAATATTATGGTGCAATATTTTAGTATAGAAAACTATTTAAGGTTGCTGCATGATAATAGTTGTGATAAGAAATATTTAATTTAATAATAAATAAATTAAAAATAAGACTGTGCGACAAAGTGAGAAAATTTTGAATGTATTTGAATGAAAGTATTTGAATGTATACCTCCAAAATATTTTTTTAATTCAAAAAACCGTGACTGTTTGCACTTTTATAATTTGTACTCAAAAACTGCAGCGGATATCCACAAAAAGTAATAAATTGTGAAGAAAATTGTACAACCTTTCACAGGATTTTTAATTCGTGGAAATAGAATGGATATAACTAAAGATATAGCGACTCAAAGTTTAGCTTTTTAATGTTGGCATTATAGTGAATAAATAAAGTCTCAGGTAAAGTTAAATATAGATCGAATTGATTATCAATTAATTCATATTTGTAGTACTTAATAGATAATTGAATTATCTTTTACCGTCAATAAATTGCCAATAATTAAGTGTAAACACAAGTGAATTTTGGTATTGAGGTACAACCGTCATCAAGATAGCAATAAACTCGAATTTACGATGTACTTGCCAGATAACTACAAACACATATGTACATACCAGTATATAATACACGGATACACTCAACGCACAAAGTCATTATAAATATATACAAATATGCGATGCGATGCGATGCGATGAGTACTTGCCAGGCGTTGCCAAAAATGTGTGCGGAAATTTGGTTGATTGGGTTTTAACACAATGAAAATACCGATTCTCTAATTAGGTCGAAAATCTTGCGGCACCGGAAAAGGGTTTTTTAGGCCTCTAAGCGCCGGATAATACAGGGAGAAACAGCGCGAGGGCCCGCAGGTAGGTAGGTAGCTTCAAAATTGCTCAATTGGTCTTCGACACACACATATGGACACACACGGCATTTGTGGAAACTTACGGCGCTGGTACTGGGAGTTTCTCGAGCTCAGTAGCCAGATTGGAATTTCGGATGGAAGTGAGGAAAAACGCGACAGATCTTTGGCATTTCTAACTTTAATCAAAGCGAAGCGTGCTGCCACGACAGGGCCAATAAATTCGAGCGATCCGCAACAGTACTTACAATTTTGTTTAGCTTAAACTGCTGGCTGGCTGGCTGTCTGGCTGACTGGCTGACTCTCCGTTTCGACTAACACCAGTCGATGAGCCGGCATGCGATTAGATTAGCAATCAGCGACGCGCGGTATTACCTTCCCACATGTCCAATTAAGATATAGGAGCCCACTCGAGTGGGTGCCTGCCCGTGGTTAGGTTACCTGGCGCCCTGCCCCATTCGGCTGGGCTTAGTAGCGCTTTGGATGCGGCCCGTGCTGGATTAGCGGCAGAAGGATTGAGCATGATTATCACCGCGAAATTGGTGGCCATCGGGCTGTGTCTGGCCCTCACGGCCTTCTCCGTTTCCACCATTGTCCTGGCCGTACAAAAGTCCAGTCTGAAGAACGAGCTACGCGAGGCGCGCGAGAAACTTGATATGCTGGAGGCGGGCCAGCAAACGACTACAACCAGCACTGTGGCTCCTCCTGCGAGCACGGGAACACCCTCAGCCACGGATCCCTCGAGCCCCACTGCAGCCCCGCCTGGCACCACTGCAGTCCCCCCTGGCACCACCATAGAACCAGGCACCACAGCAGAACCAGGCAACACCACCCCCGCGCCGGAAGAGAAGATTGACTATCGCCTGCCCACCCGCCTGGAGCCCACCCACTACGACCTGTATCTGTTCCCCAATGTGGAGACGGGAGTGTTCGATGGCCAGGAGACGATCACCCTGACCGTGCACGAGGCAACCGATGAGATTGTGCTGCACTCCCTCAACCTCAACATTTCGAGCGTGTCTGTGCTCAGGCCGGACTTCTCGAGCGTGGATGTCGCGGAGATCAGCTTCGATGCGGTGCGGGAGTTTCTGGTGCTGCAGCTGGCGGAGGAGCTGAGTGCGGGCACTGAGGTGAACCTGCATCTGGGATTCGCGGGCTCCATGGTGAACAAGATCGTGGGGCTGTACAGTTCGTCGTATGTGAAGGCGGACGAGAGCCGCAAGTTGATTGCGACGTCCAAGTTTGAGCCGACCTATGCCCGGCAGGCGTTCCCCTGCTTCGACGAGCCTGCGCTGAAGGCCACCTTCCAGATAACCCTGGTGCATCCCGTGGAGGGCGACTACCATGCCCTGTCCAACATGAACATCGAATCGCAGGCCAATCAGGGCGCTTACACCGAGGTGACCTTCGCCAAGAGCGTGCCCATGAGCACCTACCTGGCCTGCTTCATTGTCTCCGACTTCACCGCGAGGTTCGTTGAGGTGGACACCAAAGGCATTGGCGAGACCTTCACAATGGGCGTTTATGCCACCCCCGAGCAGATCGCCAAGGTCGACTTTGCCGTCGAGGTGGGCAAGGGCGTGATTGAGTATTACATTGACTACTTCCAAATCGAGTATCCGCTGCCCAAGCTGGACATGGCCGCCATTCCCGACTTTGTGTCCGGCGCCATGGAGCACTGGGGTCTGGTCACCTACCGCGAGACGTCTCTGCTGTACGATGCCGAGACGAGTTCGGCGTCCAACAAGCAGCGCATTGCCTCCGTCATTGCCCACGAGTTTGCCCACATGTGGTTTGGCAACTTGGGTGAGTTATCCGCTGCTGCTTAGCCCGTCTGCCCCACTCATCTCTCCTGTTTCGTAGTTACCATGAATTGGTGGAACGATCTCTGGCTGAACGAGGGCTTTGCCAGCTTCATTGAGTACCTTGGCGTGGATTCAGTCTTTCCCGAATGGAAAATGGCAAGTCTGGCACTGGGATTACTTCTACTTGGTGGTAGTTCCATCTAATGTTTATCCATGTGATTCGATTGCATAGCGGGACCAGTTCATTGTTAGCACATTGCATGGGGTTCTGACCTTGGACGGTACCTTGGGCTCCCACCCCATCATCCAGACGGTGGAGAACCCCGACCAGATTACGGAAATCTTCGACAGCATCACCTACTCCAAGGGCTCCTCGCTGGTGCGCATGGTGGAGGACTTTCTGGGCGAGCCAACCTTCCGCCAGGCCGTGACAAACTATCTGAACGAGTACAAGTACACAACGGCCGAGACGGCCAATTTCTTCACCGAAATCGATAAGCTGGGACTGGACTACAATGTGACCGCCATCATGCTGACGTGGACGGTGCAGGTGAAGCTGAAAGATTACTCAGCCGAGCCGATTCCCCAGTGAAACATATTTCCATCCATTTTCAGATGGGTCTGCCAGTTGTCACGGTCGAGAAGATCTCCGACACTGAATACAAATTGACGCAGAAGCGCTTCTTGTCCAATCCCAACGACTATGACGCCGTTCACGTGGCCTCGGAATTCAAGTGAGTCGCAGAACCGCAGATCTGGCTGCCCCCCTTGGCGTATCTGATCGAAATATTCGCACATACATTATTAACTTGCAGCTACCGCTGGTCAATACCCATCACATACACCACCAGCGCCGAGGCGAGCGTGCAGCGGGTCTGGTTTTACCACGACCAGAGCGAAAGTAAGTGGTGCCATATGTATGCGAGGCAGGCAGACAGCCAGGCAGCCAGGCAGCCTCGTTCCTGCCCCATTCCTGCCCCATTCCAGTTGCCCAGTTAGCGATCTTCTTCTCATCTGAGCTCTCCCCATCTTGATTTGCAGTCACCATAACTCTCCCAGCTGCCGTGCAGTGGATCAAATTCAACTCGGAGCAAGTGGGCTACTACCGGGTCAACTATGACGCCGCGCTGTGGCAGTCATTGGCCACGCAACTCGTGGCCACGCCCAGTAGCTTTAGCACCGGAGATCGCGCCTCCCTGCTGAACGACGCCTTCGCCCTGGCCGACTCCACGCAGCTGCCGTATGAGATTGCCCTCGACATGACCAAGTATCTGGACAAGGAGGCGGACTATGTGCCCTGGAGCGTGGCCGCCTCGAAGCTGACATCGCTCAAGCGCACCCTCTACTACACGAACAGCTATGTGAAGTACAAGAAGTACGCGACGGCTCTGATCGAGCCCATCTACACGTCCCTCACCTGGACAGTGGGCGAGGAGCACCTGAACAAGTAAGTAACCACGGGGGAGTCTCACTCCATTATGCATCCGTTCCATGAAACGTTTACTCCACTCGTCCACTCCTGCAGTCGTCTTCGGGTAACGGCCTTGAGTGCCGCCTGCTCCCTGGGCCTGGAGTCCTGCCTCAGCGAGGTGGGAGAGCAGTTCAACAGCTGGCTGGCCACACCCGACGAACGGCCCAAGCCAGATGTACGCGAGACCATCTACTACTACGGCATGCTGTCGGTGGGCGACCAGGAGATCTGGGAGAAGGTCTGGCAGTTGTTTGTCAACGAGGCGGACGCCAGCGAGAAGTCGAAGCTGATGTACGGCCTGGCCGCTGTGCAGGAGCCCTGGCTGCTGAAGCGCTACATTGACCTGGCCTGGAACGAGGACTATGTGCGCGGTCAGGACTACTTCACCTGTCTGACCTACATTGCGGCCAATCCCGTGGGCGAGTCCCTCGTCTGGGAATATGTGCGCGAGAACTGGCTCACTCTGGTGGATCGCTTTGGGCTGAACGAGCGCTATCTGGGCAACCTTATACCCACGATTACGGCTCGCTTCAGCACCCAGACGAAGCTCGATGAGATGGTGTACTTCTTCGAGAAGTATCCCGAGGCAGGAGCCGGCACTGCTGCTCGTGTCCGTGCCCTGGAGACGGTGAAGAACAACATTGTCTGGCTGGCCGAAAATCTGGAGAGCGTCGACGCCTGGCTGGACGAACAGCAACTGTAGATGCGAGCTGCAGTCCATTGTCGTGGGTTCTTTTAAGTTTGTACTCATCTAATGGCCTGCCATAAAGCGACCGACCAACGACCAACGCTTAACAACTGAGAATAAAGATAAGCTGGCCAGAGGATTGGGGAAAAAAACACACAAATTACAGCTCCATAAATAAAATAAGCAATTATCCATCCAATCGTCGATTGCGTTAGTTAGTCCATGGCGTACTCGTACTCTCCGATAGCCACGTGCACTCGTGTGTGTACGGATCCGATTTGATTTCGATTGCCCGCCTCCAGTGCAGGTCCAGTGACAGGCCTTTTCTGGGCCATAATCGAAACATATTTGGCCAATTATCGACGTTGTTCGGATCGTACGCGAACATAAACTTTGAGGGCACACAATCAGAATTAGTTATATGGCAGCTAATCGCTAGAGTTGGACGGCGCCGGGCTGGGCCGGGCCGGGCCGGGTTTGGCTGACTCTTGGTTATAATTCAGTCGCTAGCGATTGTTGGGAGTGCAAAGATGTTCTTGACGCATATTTGGATGCAGGTGGCACTGGCCTGGGCGGTGGCGGCCTTTGCCACGGCCACCGTTGTGGTGGCGGTGCAAAACGCGAAGCTGGAGGCGAATCTGCGCGACGTACAGGAGAAGATTGACATCTACAAGGATGGCGGGCCAATCATCCAACGGGAGAGACGCGACGATGAGGTGAGTAATACATTTAAAGGCCATTTTCTATTATCCAATCTTGTATCTGTAGATTGACTATCGCCTGCCCACGGCTCTGCGGCCCGTTCACTACGAACTCTACTGGCATCCTGATCTGGATACGGGCACCTTCACGGGCCAGGAGAAGATCACCATAAGTGTGCTGGAGGCCACAAATCAAATCGTTTTGCACTCTTACCTGCTGGACGTGACGAATGTTTATGTGCTGAACCACGACGGCGTGGAGTATGAGCTGGAAGCGGAGCGACAGCTGCTGATCATCACGTTGCAGTCGGAGCTGGCCGTGGGTGCCAGCATCACCTTGGGCGTGCTCTTCAATGGCAAAATGACGGACAAGCTGGTGGGTCTATACAGCAGCACCTACAAGTCGGAAGCGGGAGACCAACGGTAAGTCACTTTTTAAATTTGAATTTTATACACGACATCCGCTACACGACATCTACATGGGAAATTCATCTAAAAGCAGCGACATTTGGCGGCGGAGAAGTTTACCACTGGCGCCACTGCATACATTTTCCGTTAAATTTTGAATTTCTGTGCAGAAAATTGGATTGGGGAGCGTACAGATACGCTAAAATATATATTTTAGCTATAAGTTACGACTGCAATTTATAGCAACTTAATTATTCTTGCAATTTTTGATGTGCAGAAACATTTCGTCAACGCAATTCGAGCCAGTTTATGCCCGTCAGGCCTTCCCCTGCTTCGATGAGCCAGCGATGAAGGCTACCTTCGCCATCACAGTGGTGCATCCGTCAGGCGCTTACCACGCAGTCTCCAACATGAAGCAAACGGTAAGCCTTCTAGCCATAATTCCATGGCGTTTTTCGGCTGCTAACTGTTTGAGTTATTCCACCAGGATTCTACCTATTTGGGCGAGTACACGGAGGCTGTCTTCGAGACCACCGTGTCGATGAGCACCTATCTGGTGTGCATTATTATGTCCGACTTTGCCTCCGAGTCCACCACTGTCAGGGCCAATGGCATTGGCGAGGACTTCAGCATGGAGGCCTTTGCCACGCCCCACCAGCTGAGCAAGGTGGAGTTCGCCTTGGAGTTTGGCGCTGCCGTCACCGAGTACTACATCCAGTACTACAAGGTGCCCTATCCACTGACCAAGCTGGACATGGCTGCCATACCCGACTTCTCCTCCAACGCCATGGAGCACTGGGGTCTGGTCACCTACCGCGAGACGGCGCTGCTCTACGACGCGAGCTTCAGTTCGACGCTCAACAAGCAGTCGATCGCCGCCGTTCTGGCCCACGAGATTGCCCACCAATGGTTCGGCAATCTGGTCACCATGCAGTGGTGGAACGACATCTGGCTGAACGAGGGATTCGCCCGCTACATGCAGTACAAGGGAGTGAATGCCGTCCATCCGGACTGGGGCATGGTAAGGCATATTGGCAGAAGGTCTCCTTCTCGGCACTAATTACGTCTATTCCAATGCATAGCTGGAGCAATTCCAAATAATCGCACTGCATCCTGTCATGGTCTACGATGGCAAACTCTCCTCGCATCCCATTGTCCAGCAAGTGGAGTCGCCCGCTGAGATCTCCGCCATTTTCGACACGATCAGCTACGAGAAGGGCGGCTCGGTCATCCGCATGCTGGAGAGCCTTGTGGGCGCCGATACCTTCGAGCAGGCTGTGACCAACTACTTGGTTAAGTATCAGTTCGAAAACACAGTCACGGACGACTTCCTCAGCGAGGTGGCCGCCCTGGTCACAGACTTTGATGTGAAGCTGCTGATGCGCACTTGGACCGAACAGATGGGCTATCCGGTGCTGAATGTGTCCCGGGTGGCAGCTGGCTTCCTCATCACCCAGCAGCGTTTCCTCGCGAACAAGGCCAGCTACGAGGAGGCGCCCGCGGACAGCGAATTCCAGTACAAGTGGAGCGTGCCCGTCACCTACACCCTCGACTCCTGGGCGGATGACACGGTCGAGAGCTTGGTCTTCCCCTATGACAATGATGCCGTGGACATAGCCCTGGACGATGATGTGCAGTGGATCAAGCTGAACGTCCATCAATTGGGCTACTATCGCGTCAACTACGAGGACAGTCTCTGGGATGCGCTGATCAAGCAACTGATAGCCGATCCGTCCCGCTTCGATGTGGCCGATCGTGCCCATCTCTTGAACGATGCCTTCGCACTGGCCGATGCCAGCCAACTGTCGTACCGCGTGCCGCTGGAGATGACCGCCTACCTGGGCCAGGAGCGTGACTTTGTGCCCTGGTACGTGGCGGCCGAGAAGCTCAAGGCGCTGCAGCGCAGCCTGATGTTCGACGAGGGCTACGTTTCCTACTTGACCTATGCGAAGACTCTGGTGGACAGCGTCTACCAGGAGCTGGGCTGGACTGTGTCCGCGACTAACCACTTGAATAAGTACGCACTGACCCTTTGCTTAGCCAGCGATTCCCTCTCTGATCTCTGATTCCCTCGTTACAGTCGACTGCGCGTGTCCATTCTGTCCGCGGCCTGTGCCCTCGGCCTGCCCGACTGCCTCGACCAGGCGGCACAGCGCTTCAACACCTGGCTGCAGAACCCCACAGCCGCCAACCGACCGGCGCCCGATCTGCGCGAGATCGTCTACCATTACGGCATGCAACAGTCGAGCAGCGAGTCCGACTGGCAGAAGCTGTTCGAGCTGTTCGTCGAGGAGACGGACGCCAGCGAGAAGCTGAAGCTGATGTACGGTCTGGCGGGTGTGCGGGACGCCCAGTTGCTGTTCACGCTGCTGGAACTGGCCAGCGATGAGAGTATTGTGCGCTCGCAGGACTACTTCACCTGTGTGCAGAATATTGCTGGCAATGCCGTGGGCGAGCCCATTGTGTGGGACTACTATCGGGAGCACTGGCCCCAGCTGAGTGCTCGTTTCGGGCTGACTAACCGCAACTTTGGCCGTCTGATTGCCCAAATCACGAAGAACTTTGCCAGCCAGGTGAAGCTGGAGGAGCTGCAGCAGTTCTATGCCAAGTACCCAGAGTCCGGTGCGGGCGCCAACTCCAGGCTGGAGGCGGTGGAGACCATCAAGTACAATATCGAATGGCTGAAGCAGAACAGCAATGACATAAGCGACTGGCTGAGCGGCACCTCCGTGCCGTTGACCAAGTAAAAACCCATTGTAAAGATGGCCTTTACTGTACTGTACTGTACTGTACAATAAATACGCTCAGACGTACAGAGCCAATTGGCAATTATGGTATCAGAAGAATCATAAGCATTGCATAAGCGCCAAAGCGAAATGTCCGCTCATGTCCGCTCAATAAAATAAAATAAAATTTCCAAAATCAAACCATAAAACAAACCAAAAGAATTTCCTTGAATTTTATCCAACAATGTGGCGATTTCTATGGCCCCAAGAACAATTTCTTGATGGCCCTGCACTGGCTGGCGCAATCATCCTGGGTCTGCGACTGTCCGGCCATAAACTCCGATATACAGCCCTTGCCAATAAAAATATATACGAGTACAATATGCCCGCAGTCTTATGACCGGAGACATAAACCTGAAGACTATTTATCTGGGCATCGGGCAGCTATATGGCAGGGCTAGATATCGTCCAGCAATCTGGCCACAGTTTATGTTTGTCAAGTTCAACTTGTTGGGTCAGATTCGCAGTTTGCATTTAGTTTCCAATTTGGCGCCCAGCGCAGTGGAAGCAATTGAAAGTTCTCCCTGAAAGTGCAAGGATCAGATTAATTAATCATCGACTAAAATGGTTGCCTGTGAGTCCATAGTCTGACATTCTGATCCACACGTATTCAATCCAAAACCATTCAGGGCTGACCGTCAAGTCCGTGGCCATCTTCCTGGGCCTGGCCACAACGGCCTTCTGCATTTCCACCATTGTGCTGGCCGTGCAGAAAACCGATCTGGAGAACGATCTGCAGGATGCCCTGAACAAGATCGATGCCCTTACGGCGGATACAACGTCTACGTCGACCACAACTACCACAGCCAATCCCGGTGATGGCACCACGCCCAGTGGGGGTGCGACAACTCCCGGAAGTGGTTCGGGTACTACCCCAGGCGGTGCAACTACTCCGGGTGGCGGAACAACTCCTGGTGGAGGAGCAACCACCCCTGGAGGTGGAACAACTCCTGGTGGAGGAGCAACCACTCCTGGTGCAGGAACCACCAGCACGCCTGCAGTCAATCCGATCTACCCCTACACTGCCCACAGGACTTCCCGATCCCGAAGCGGTAAGTCCAGTGCTTCAATCCAATTGGGAAAGTGCAAATTTTCCCGTCTGGTCATCGTAAAGTCGGCATTGCTACCAATTCACGTTTTATCATGTTCCCTAGTGGTCATTTAGTCATTTGGTCATTTCAAGTGCTTATCGCTGGGGGTAAATGATTGTGCCTTCGTTTTATCACAGTCGAACAGTCTTTGGGGCCGTGTCAGAACTTTAGTGGTCAGTTGAGGCAGTTGGATTGAGGACAGCACACTGAATCAGAAATGAGCTTCAAGTTGCAGAACGTAAAGGGTATGCAGGCATATTCGATGTCAGTTAATGGTCAGCATTGAAGGATCACCATCTCTCATGTGTCTTAGACTGGCTGACAGCGGAGCGCGTGGCCATATTCTTTGGTCTGCTATCCACCTGCCTGATTGTGGCGCTTGTGATGGTGCTTGTCCACAGGGACAATTTGTGGCTGCAGCTGGACGAGGCACAGCGGAAATTGGATGTTCTCGAGGACTACATACAAAACCATTTGCGGACTGCCACGCCCGACCAACTATTGAAGTCAAGGGGACAACAGATGATTCTTAGGCTTAATAATAGTTTAGTTTTTCGTATTTTGTGGGCTTCAATAAACAATCATTTAATATCATTTCACAATTAATTGAACTTCCTAGCAAATGCAAGCACAATCGTATAATGCTGACACACACCGACGAAGTCCATTTATTTATTTTACAACCTGACCACTATAGGCCCAATCAATCCGTATCGTTGCCTTATCATCGTTTGGTTATTATCGTTAATGGATATTGAATAATCTTTACAATCGCTCGCCCCCAGATTCAATGGCGTCTGCCCACTGAGCTGAGGCCCATCAAGTACAAGATATACATTCATCCCGACCTGCAGACAGGCGGCTGCGAGGGCACCGTGTCCATCCAGTTCCAGCTGAATGAGGTGACCAATCTGATTGTGCTGCACGCCAAGGATCTGAATGTGCACAGCATCAGTATCCTGAATATGATGGCGCGCATGCGCATACCCATTGACGAGGTCATTCTGGACGACACAAGGGAGCTGCTCCTGATTACGCTGAAGACGGTGCTCAGCATGAACAAGGCGTATACGCTATCCGCCAGCTTCGACTGCAATCTGGAGAGTCTGACGGGCAGCTACCGAAGCAGCTACACAGATGCCGAAGGCAATCAAAAGTGAGTACTGAACACTGAATACCCCTAATGCATGGTCTTCGATTTGGTGTTGATATTCTTAGCTTTGCGCTTAAAGCCGGTCCCAGCTGTTCGTTTCGGCAAGCTTCCACGCAGCGAGCTTTCACCGCGTGCCATGATATGGCGCAGCTTTGGGCACTGTTGGAAGTTTAAAGCTGAGCGCGACGGTTGTGAATGCGCGTCGCGTCTTTTATTTCGAACCCGATCTCATCTCTCGTCGTGCGCGCGCGCTTCTCCTCGCCGATTTGAATCAAGTACGAGCATATAGCTAAATGAATTGCTGTGCATAGGATCGGCGCATTAAATTAACAATTAACAGACATCTCAGTCGCGTTGTCACTGTCACCGTCCCCGTCACAGCAGCTGTAACTGTAAATCGAGAAGCAAATGCCCAGTGGCTGCCGAAAGAAAGAGCAGGTGCCAATAAAGCAGGCGACATAGTGCAAAATGTGAAAATAATACGAGTGGAGGGAAGTGGAGTGGAGTGTGGAGTGTGGATCAAAACATATACCGTTGAAAGCTCTAACTGACCGCTGTCATTGTCATTGAACCGATTCCGTTATACGACTCAATCTGATCTGCTCTGCTGTGTGCCTGCGTTCTAATTGGGCGCATTGAGGCGGCAACTAATTTTAATATTCGCGCCGTAATACGAGTATTTCGAATCGAAGCGAACCGAAATGCGGCCACGGAACTCCATGGAATGGAATTCTATGCCAACTTTGACTTTCAACAATGAACACGATAAACAAGAGCCGCCGATAAATAACAGCGGGCAGCAGAACACCACACCGCATGGGCAGGGAAAACAGGTTGCAGCAGCGCATGCGTCCCATCACTCCACCTCCACTCCTCCTCATTCTCCTTCTCCGTTGCAAACTGGCTTGGCCCCAGTCCCTGCCCCACACCCCCCTCTGCATAAGCCTCGTGCATACACATAGTTCACTTGCCGCGCAAGTTCTTGGCCTTAAATCGGCCAATACACTCGGAGCTGTGAGCCGCCAAGATCTTCAGTACGCCTCAATGGCTCAAGTCTCTGGCTGTGGCTCTGTCTCTTGCAGCCGCTGCCGCTGGCCGATGGCCGCCTGAGAAATTACTTTCTTCCAAAGGCAAAACAAAATGGGTCGACATCATTGACTGCCAGCTACTTTTCGTAGTATTTCTGTCTTCTGCTTCCCCTTTGCTCTGTCTCTGCCTCTGTCTCCGTCTCCGTCTCTTTCTCATTTCTCATATCTGGTTTTTGTTTTGTTCTTGAAAGTTTGGCCGAACCCAAGGCGCACACTGGTCAAATATTTTTAATTTTTTTTTTCCATTTTTCATTTTCATTGACACTGATTTCTTTTTTGTTTTGGGCGAAATTTTCTAGTTCGTGTTTAGTGTGGGAAAAATACCCCCTGAAGAATGGTTAAAGAATTTCGCTTTGAATGGAGTTTAAGTGCTAATAAGCGGGATCAATGAATGGAGATTTTTAACACCTTTTGATGTGTGAATTTAGTGGATGTTCATTCAACTCTTTCGCCCTTTTTTATTGGTTTCTGTGATTTGCTTTGCTAATTAATTTTATATATTGCCGTAATACCCCATTCAGGATTGATGGCTTTGCTCTTGGGCGATCTTATGCAAGATCCCTTGATTGATAAACTTACGATATGTATTTTGCATTCCGTTAACCTCAAAACACACACAAATTGTGGCAATCATTTCTCTGTCTCTTGCCCACGATATCTCTCTTTGTATTTATTGTCGCTTTTATTTGATTTTTGTTTAAATTTTTAGAAATTGCAAGCACGTAGAGACGACCTTTGTCATGTGTCATCCCATCTCCCATTGCGGGAGTTGCGCGGGTTGGGTTGGTGTTTTTTTTTCTTTTTTTTTTTGTTAATTTTATCTGGGCTGCACTTGTCACGTAAATGCCAAACGATTTGCATTTGTGCTGCCATCTGTAAGGTGCCGTTTTTCGTGAAAGTTATGACCTTAAAAAGAGGCACAGGCACGTGTGTGTGTTTAATAAAAAAAACCTATTTAAATTTCCAAAAACTCTAAGCGTTTGTGTGACACCCGTAAACCGGAATGCTCCAAGTGCATTCACCTGGCCGACTTGCACACAGATGTCTAATTCCTCACTCATTAGAAGACAAGTTTCTTGTGACATCTCCCCCCCCCAGTTGTTGGTGGGCGTGGAGCGATCATCAGCCACAGAATGCGCAGGGCAGAGCAGAGAAGATAGAGATGAGATGCTTATGCATTCTGATGCATTGATGCGATGAGGCGTGTCAGATTATGCAGCCACAGATACTGGTACTCCGCAGCTGCTGCCATTGTCTTCGCTTCTGCTGCTCATAAGGTAGTCATGCAATTGGCTGTTTTTGTGGCAGAGCGAGCGGCGGGCTTTGTGTGCGCCTTAATTGAGTCAGCGGCAGAGTCGCGCTGCATTGCATCATCAGGGGCTCCATGATGCGATGGGCCTGATCGGCTGGCATGGCATGGGGCCTGGCGGGGCAAGAAACAATTGCCTGGCAGCTGGTTAAAATTAGCATATTCTACAGTCTACAGTCTACAGTCTTCGGTCTTGAATTCCTCATTTCGCACAATTTGGTGCAGCCTGAAATGAAAACTGCATACATTACGAGTGGTGCACACCCACGAGCAAATGGTTTCCTCTCAGATGCATCCTGACATAATTTTCAGTGGAGTCATGTGTGGAGTTTGTGGCCAATTCAATTCAAATCATTTTCATGGCTCATACTCTGCATCTGCAACTTCTTCCCGTGGTACTAAACTGCCACAGATCGGAGTGCATGGAGAGTGCATAGTGATGCCAATAACCTTTGCCATGCATCCGTCAATCAATCGCACACCCCACACCAACAACGCCCCTATAGAAAGTGGCCTGTGGTGGTGGACGGATCATTGCAACAGCCTGGGGGGATTTGTAATGCGACTTTGCGGTTAACCAGCCCAGCTCCAACTCTGAGCTCCATGGAATCGTGTCGCTCCAACTATTTGAAGTAACAATTTCATGAAATGACCAACTTCATTACGTGACCATGCGAGGGGCAGAAATGGCAGCAGGCATCTATCTGATTGATCTGCAGCGAGACAAAATTGAGGCAAGCTCCATCTCCATCTCTATGTCTTTACCCCTTGCCCATGGGGTAACCTAGCCGTACCACACCATAAAAGCTATGAAAACCAACCCGGGTTTGTTTATAAGCAGCTCGGAGATTATAAAAAAAAGTGATGATGGTAACGGCGACGCATGTAATTCGGTCCGGGCTGTTTATTGCGCTCTCGAATTACCCTCCCTGTCGATGACACAATGGATTGGAGTGCTGGGAGCTTCAGTTTTGTGATAAAACTACAGTTAAAATTGTGATTTAAGGCAGAGCCCAATGGGCTTCAAGCTAGGGACAGCTTCTGACAGTGACAATTTGCGATAGTGCGCGGGCTTCAATTGGAGCAAGTTCAAAAGTAATAAACACCCCTTTTCGCTATTGTAGCTCGCGTCTCAGTGTGAACGAGTCTAGTTGAAAGCCAAGTTAAATAAGCAGAACAAACAGTCAACGGCATGTATGCAACGAAAAACGTGCGACCACGCAGCAGCCTCTCCACAGACGACAACCACCGCATCAAGGACACCAACCGGCCCCAAAAGGCACCGGGCAACACCATCCTCACGCTGGTCGCCTTCTGCGTGTTCCTCCTGGTGCTGTGCGGCTTCCTGCTGGGCGCACTCGTATATGTGGGCAAGAATATAGCCGACGAGCACCAGAGACAGCAGCAGGCGAACAGCACGCAGACGGCGGCTCTGAATGCCACCATACGCACCGTCTACGTGGACCGGGATCAGTTGTTGTCCACCAAACCGATTCTGAGCGTTTTGTCAGGTTGGTCCATCATTCGAAATTTAAATATGATTAGTAATGTGGCAGGAAGGTTCCAGCATTATTCAATCAATAGATTAACCATATTTTCCGTATACAAATATAAAATTGAAACTTTTAATAGATAAAAAAAAAGGAGCAAAAAAATATTTTAAATGTGGGGCTTAAGAGCATTTTTCAGTAGCTTTAATTTTATTCTGGGCATACATATATAACGGTAAAATGCACAATGGGTATTTAAATGCCCCACGAAAATCATAAAACTTAAAGAATTTTAGAGCAGCTTAGGTGAAAGATATTTTAGTTATTCTTTTTATAAGTAAAGAGGAAAGGATGGATCTACAAGGTTAAATAACAGACAGTATTATGTCTTCGCCGTTTAACTCACCTGCTGCTTACCTGCTTAAATAGAAGGGGGTTCAGTGGGTTAAATATGTTAATTTTGTCTTTATCGGTATAACTCGGTATCTTTCTGTGGGCCAGACGGTCACACTATTTTTTAAAATAAACTAAAAAGCCTTTATCAATTAAAAATCGCATATTATCGCTAGATAATCGCGCCCCCACCACTCAAGTGCCTTCCAATACCAAATCAAACGCCATGGCCACCGTCGCGCCCGCCATTAGAGCCGCCAGCAAGGTGCTGCAGAAACTCGGCTACCGGCTGCCAAAGGAGCTGAAGCCGAGCAAATACAAGCTGCAGCTGCGTCCAGATCTCAACCAGAAGCACTATACGGGCAATATAAGCATCAGCCTGGAGGTACTGGAGCCGATTTCCTTCATACCCGTGCACGTGAAGCAGCTGAATGTGAGCACTGTCGATGTGCAGCACTTGGACGAGTCGGGAGCGCCGCTGAAGAGCATTGCCCCAACCCTGACGTTTTCCTATCCCGAATTCGAGTACTGGGTGACCGAGTTTGAGCAGCCGCTGGACGTGGGAAACTATACGCTGCGCCTGAACTTTAACGGTTCGTTGACGGATCGCATCACAGGCCTCTATCAGAGCTCCTACTGGGACAAGCTGAAGAATCGCAACAGGTAGCAAAGCTACTAACACCCGCCATCCCCTTGCATGCAACCAATTTACTTACCCATATATGAAATGAGTCTCTGCCATGCCTTTCATCCGCTAATAATCTTTACCTTTGCCTTACAGATATATTGCCAGCACCAAGTTCGAGCCCACCTATGCCCGGCAGGCCTTCCCCTGCTTCGACGAGCCGGCCCTGAAGGCCCAGTTTACCATAACTATTGCCCGACCCAGCGGCGATGAGTACCACGTACTGTCGAACATGCCTGTGGCCATCGAGTACATCGACGGGGATCTGACTGAGGTGACGTTCGAGGAGACTGTGCCCATGAGCACATATCTGGCTGCCTTCGTGGTTTCGGACTTTGCCCACAAGACCACAAACTCAGCAATAAACCCTTCCATTGAAGTGCGCACCTTCGCCCCAGCAGCGCAAGTGGAGAAGACCCAATATGCTCTGGACATCGGAGTTGGCGTCCTCGACTATTACATCGAATACTTCAACATCTCCTATCCCCTTCCCAAGCTGGATTTGGTTGCCATTCCCGATTTTGTATCGGGCGCTATGGAGAACTGGGGTCTGGTGACCTTCCGCGAGACGGCGTTGCTGTATGATGAGGCAAGCAGCTCCAGTGCGAACAAGCAGCGTGTGGCCATTGTCATTGCGCATGAGCTGGCGCACCAGTGGTTCGGCAATCTGGTCACCATGAACTGGTGGAGTGACCTTTGGCTGAATGAGGGCTTTGCCTCATTCGTGGAATACAAGGGGACGAAGCACATGCATGCAGACTGGGATATGGATAATCAGTTTGTCATCGAGGAGCTCCATCCAGTGCTCATAATCGATGCCACACTCGCATCGCATCCAATTGTTAAGTCAATTTCAAGCCCCGCTGAGATTACCGAATACTTCGATACAATTACCTACTCGAAAGGCGCCTCCTTGGTGCGCATGCTGGAGAACCTTGTGGGCGAGGAGAAGTTCAAAAATGCCACAACTCGCTATCTGAGGACCAACCTCTACTCCACCGCCACCACTGAAGATTACCTCACTGCCATTGAGGAGGAAGAGGGCCTCGAATATGATGTCAAGTGAGTGCCTATATCTGCTGCTGCTTGCGCGTACGCATCCACTAATTCGTTCCCACTCACAGACAGATCATGCAAACGTGGACAGAACAAATGGGTCTGCCGGTTGTCGAGGTGGAGAAGAATGGCAACACCTACAAGCTAACCCAGAAGCGTTTCTTGGCCAATGCGGACGATTACGAAGCCGAAGCTGAGGCCTCTTCTTTCAAGTACGTATCAAAGTCATTTAGTATTGCCGCATTGTCTTGAACGATTGTTTTTGGCCTGCCTGCCTGCCCCACAGTTACCGCTGGTCCATCCCAATCACCTACACGAGCAGCATCAACAGCGAGGTGCAGTCGACGATATTCAACCACAACGACAACGAGGCTAGCATCACGCTGGCAGGCGATGCCAGCTGGATTAAGATTAATAAGGACCAGGTTGGCTATTATCGCGTTAACTATGCGGCCGAGCAGTGGGCTGCCCTGACCACTGCGCTTAAGGCATCGCGGGAGGACTTCAGCACCGCGGATCGTGCACATTTGCTGAATGACGCCAACACCCTGGCCGCTGCTGGACAGTTGAACTATGCCGTGGCCCTCGACCTGAGCACCTATCTGGAGAGCGAGCAGGACTATGTGCCCTGGAGTGTTGGCACCTCGTCGCTGGCAACGCTGCGAAATCGCGTTTACTACACCGATCTGTACAGCAATTTCACCACCTACGCCCGCAAACTACTAACGCCCATTGTGGAGAGGGTCACGTTCGTCGTTGGCACAAATCATCTGGAGAAGTAAAAACGACTCAAACGACACATTTAGCTTGATTAGATATTGACTTTTGTGCATTTCACAGCCGCCTCCGCATCAAGGTTCTGAGCTCTGCATGCGCAGTCGGACACGAGAGCGCGCTGCAGCAGGCTGTTACTCTGTTCAATCAGTGGTTGGCCACGCCTGAAACACGCCCTAGTCCTGATATCCGGGACGTCGTCTACTACTACGGTCTGCAGCAGGTCAACACCGAAACCGCCTGGGACCAGGTCTGGAAACTGTATCTGGCCGAGGCAGATGCACAGGAGAAGTTGAGACTTATGAACGCCTTGGCTGCCGTGAAGGAGCCATGGCTGTTGCAGCGCCTCATCAATCTGGCCTCGGACGAGAGCAACGTCCGTCGCCAGGACTATTTCACGCTTCTGGGCTACATTTCGGCCAATCCCGTGGGACAGAGCCTTGTCTGGGACTATGTGCGCGAGCAGTGGGAGCAGCTGGTGGCGCGCTTTGGCATCAACGAACGCACATTGGGTCGCCTGATTCCAACAATCACGGCGCGCTTCTACACTCAAACCAAGCTGGAAGAGATGCAGAACTTCTTCGTGAAGTATCCAGAAGCAGGAGCTGGAACGGCGGCCCGCCAACAGGCCCTGGAAACGGTCAAGGCCAACATCAAGTGGCTGTCACTGAACAAGGCCCAAGTGGGCGAGTGGTTGGCCAACTATGCGGAACAGTCCACGGTTACCAATAGCATCAATTGATTCGCACTGCTTTAGCCCCCTGTAAAATACAATAATGTAAAAACTACCAATGGAATTGAACATAGTCTTACTCGTAGCTAACTAAAGCAGCAAGTGCTTTTCAAATGTGAATGAAGAATTGTGAATACGTATGATATTTTGAAGAAAACTAATAGATACAAAATTATGCCTTTTTTTTGCTTTACACTACTGTGCTCGACACTACGTGAATAATTCCGGAGCCCCAGAGAAGACTAACCTAATGACAAATAGAGCTGCATAGTCTAAGCAAACTGAATTTATTTAACAATCAGTGAATGAGTCTGGCACTTGGTTAAACAATTCTGACCCAACAATGCAATACGACTGAGGTGGTACTCAAAGTATGCCAGAGTATATTCTGCTGGCGTAAGCGTATGTAACAGTTAGAAGAAAGCGTCCGTCTGTTGGTTTTAAATTAATGATTATGGTACATATTTTATAAAGGTAATTTTCCAGCGTGGACTTGCGTTCACAAATTTATAATACCAATGCAATTCAGATTTGCTTAAATCTGTCTTGAAATGAGGTTGCGACTTTAAATAACTTTTCTGTAGATGTCTTCCAAATTATGTTTCTAATCAAGAAATCATGTGTTTCAAGTCAACGACTGTTATGAATTGGATATACTCGCTTATCTGTATCGTAAAGGGCATGGCAGGGCAAATGTCAAAGAGCAAACCCAATAATTTGATTTCGAGCTTTATTTTACATCCTGATGGCGCTCTTCCTGTACACGATGTTTCAGGCTAACCAGCTGAATAATTATCTCGATTTGCTCAAGCGCAATAGAGCAATATACACCTACATATATACTTGCCATTCAAAGTGAATTACGGGTTAACCTCTGCTCTTTCAAGAACTCTTTCGGACTGGACGACTGACACGCCCCTTAACTGGTGGAACTACATCTGGCCTTTGGTCGATACCCCACTAATTGTGACACCCTTTTGGCCTTTGTAGATGCAAAACCCTTCTGCTAAACGTCGTGGAGTCGAGCGTGAATGGCTCTGCCCAGCGCCAGACAATTCGATCTATCCAGTCTTCGTCATGTTGCATAGCCACCTCAATGGTTATTAGCCTCCGCCCATGTAGACCCGGTTGCGTCTCTACTCGGACTTCCTCAGTGGTAAGGTCGAACCTCTATCAGCCTCTGTGTGCGTCGTGTTTCTCCGACAACGACTCACTTATTTAGCTCCAGGAGGAGGCACACCGATACAACGGATTGGGATTGGCTTCTGCTCATCTTTCGAACACATTTGGTACACTTATTTTCATAATCTATTAGCTAATTATTTTCTATGGCTAAAATAGTTGATAATCAACAGTAATGTAAATAACTACATAATGATAAATGTATTCTCCCACGTGGACCACACAATAAATATTTAGCTGCTTAAGCAAGTTGCACCTAAGCAAACATTTTCAGACTGCCCAACAATGTATTCGGATTGTTTAGGCTTTACATAACACTGACCAACGCTACAGAACTGTCTGGGGGAGCTCATATAAATAGGCGCCCTTTCGTATCGAGTATTAGTTCTGGTTAAACAGAGTAAAGAAGTAATTCAAGCATCATGCAGTCTTCAACGTTCCTTATGGCCTTCTTGGTGGTGGCTATGCTGATGCTTTTCAGCGCCCCGATTACTGAGGCCACCTTCTTGCTCATTGCTTGCATGTTGCGGTCTCCATTGTGCCCATGGGTCACCTCAGCCGCAACCAACAGCACAGGCTGAGAACAGGACCATTCACAACTCAGTATGAAGCTCGATACCAGACACTCGAACACATCATTGGGACACAAATATGTACTAAATAAAATGATTTTTTTGCTGCATTGAATTGATTTGCATGTATATGGTTTAGTGTTAGTTTTCAAAAGAAAAGAAATCACGTGAAAAAAAATTGAAATATAAATCCGGAATTCTGTGAACTATTTAAATTTGTACCGTTCCCATTCTCCACATATTTTTAGGAAAGTTTGAGTTCAGCTGTGAGGCCCTGTTAACTCTTTGCCAAAAAAACAATTCAAATAAAAAAGCAACTATTTTAAACTGGATTTTTTATCAGATCAATGCCATAAAGATAAAGTCGAGACGTTTCGCGAAAAAAAGATGCACATATAGTAAAGTTTAATCAGCAACTTTATTTGCTTTATCCATATAGAACGTATCAAATCCCTATATATTGTTTCTTTTTTTGGATGGCAAAGTAATCACATGTGACGTCCGTATATAACACCATAAAAATGGAAGTTAGCAGCCGAACTTCTAACTGCCAGTGGGCAGATCATAAATATTTTCTTATATAAAGGAATCGGCATAATTTCTGAACTTCTTGCAAAATAATTATTGTATTATTTTGCTGAAGCAAGAACATTAATTTTTATTAAGTTGAGTTTATTTGAGAATGATATCTCCACCAACTATGTACATGCGCGCATATCTACAATGTACAACTTTTGCAATTCAAATAGAAATAATTTATGAAATGATTCAAAACTTCGAAGTTCAGTCAAAAACTTCGAGAAAAAAATTACGCAGCCACAAGAAGAGCTTATTGCTGCGTAAGGGCGATCCAGACCTGATGTATTCTCTGGTTCGAAGACAACAACATTAGGATCTATCGATTGGCTATCATTTCACAGATTGATTGGTTCCGCATGGAACCATGTGCTCCTCTACCGATTCATTAATGTGCGACCTTGAACACCAACTTTGTCGCTTTGTATATGTTTTTGTTTATCATTACAACCAGCGAAAGTAGTGTATACAACACGAGGAAACCATTTCGTTTTATACTCCCTAGCTGAGATGCCAATGAAATTCCAGGAAACGGAAACAACTAAGAACGCGCCAGTGTTGGCTTAATTCCCTTGCTGTGCGCTTTTATGGACACATTTTATGCCGGATTTTATTAGGCCCAAAGTGTTTATGCCTTGTGGGCTGCAAGAGGACATCAGAGCAGTTGCGGACAGTTTCCGACCAGGATTTAGGCCTAAGCAATGACGTAAACAGGAATTTGTCAGAAACTGTTTACGGCTGGAATTGATAACATTGGGCTGCGATCAGATGGCGCGCAACCCTCGGGGGGAAGGACGGCGCTCGAAAGTCAATCAGAATCACTCAAATGGCGCGTATCCAATAGGCAAAAATGATGACGCCATCCCAGCGGAGCGCATAAATTCCGATTTGCCGTTGCTGAGTTATCGCCAGCATTCGCACAACAAACGACACTTTTTTGCAGCTTCCATGGCGTATTATCTGGTGCTGCCATGGAAACGATTTATCTTTATGTTCGAGTGTTTCGATTTGATTTCGCTCGTCAATTTCTGGATGGTTCAGGAGGCCAGCACAGCTTAAATTTAAAGCAACGTGTCGGTGCGCCTAATTCTCAGGCTCAGCCATGGGCCAAGGTCAGCGAATTGACTCGTCTGGCGGGCCAGCTCCCACTATTAGTGCAATTGAGACAAGATAATGAAAATGAACATCAGGCCGAATCAAGCAGACGACCAACTTCTAGAGCTGTAACAGCTGCAGGCGTTTAAATTGGCATCCAGGCAGGGCACGGGCCCCACCGGAGATGGGAGTCGGCTTCCACCGCACGCCATCTCATTGGAGCTCTTTGTCTATGCCCCTGTGTGCCATAAAGTTTCCCACACTGCGGCACTCATCCACAGAAACGAGAGAGCTCCGAAAATGAATCCGTACGATTTGTTGGCCTTGGGCCAGGCAGACATATTTAGCCTTGTCTAACAAACGAGCACAAACGAGTCATTTGTAATCAAAATAAAAGCCACTTTAAGCTAAACTCTTCCTAATTTATAATTCGAAATATTTATGCGCTCGATTTCACTTAAAAATAAAGCAAGAGGGCGGGAAAAATGTAGTTGTGGCTTTATTAAACTTATGTAAATATGTGCACACGTATTTATTTGTATTTTTCAGTAAAAGTTTTCAATTTGCATAGCATCAACGTCTATGGTCCCCAGACTGTCAAAGAAAATAGGCAATGTTGCCGAAATGTTTCTGATTTCTGTTTCTGATTGCCTTTCACATGCACCCAACACTCAATGGGCTGTTCGGTCAATAAAAAATAATTGCGATGCTCCCGAAACGTCATAAAATCCTAGTGTCATGAGCCTCCCGAAAATCTCGGGCCAAAGGAATATTGTTCAACCGCCCTGTCCGCACGTTCAAGTGTTGACGTCTGCTCTATCGGCCATCTGTAATGGCAGTCACAGTCACATGGAATGCTCCGTGGGAATTTTTGTCTTCTTGGCTCCCAATTGCTGCAGTGGCATTTTTATGACCACAAACCTGTTGAGGCGCCGTGTAATGGCTTAAGAATAAAATAAATTAATTGGCGACCTGATGAAATTACTTCATTAGCTGCTAATTTAATTGAGTCTCCTGTAGAGTGTGCTGGGCGAAATCAGCCGGAATCGTGCCAGGGAGGTGGGCCCTTGACATGATTAATATTGCATTTTGGCATCGACTTAGCAACAAAACAGCTCCGTTACATGAGCGGACAGACAGACCTCCTGCTGAACAAGGGACAAGACAGGGTTGAAGGACCGGAAACGGGCGGTGTGTATATCTTTGCGACCCGAGCTTCCATCGTTCATGTTATATGAATGGAAGCTTCTTTTTCCGGTCCGGCTACTCCCTCCCACGCAGCCATTAATCTCAATTTGAAGGGCAAACATTCAATCAACCCAGAGGCGCCTGCCGAGCGGCCTTACTAATTAAAGACACATTAAGGGCTCGTTAAAATTAAAGTGCCACTTAAAGGGCTCGATGGGCCCTGCTGTCATGGTTGCTAATTTGAAGAGGATACGCCAATATGCAATTCGAAAACTATTCACAATACCCACAGCCAGGGTGCACCTGAAGCGTGAAAAGAGTTAAATGATGCTTGAATAAGAATAAAGCTGAGTGTAAAATGCAGACTGCCAATCGACAGCGGTGAGCACGTGACTACAGGCGATTGCCTTTCGCAATTGAAATAATATTTTTAAGCCATTTAAGCCACTCAAAAAATGTTCAATGTTCAACAGTCATTGGCAACAAAGAAAACAAGCATTAAAAATAGAAAACCAATTAAAGTCTTATATGTAGTCTGCTAAAAAAACTTTGTTTATCCATAAACATTTTCTCATTTTAGTCGGAATTCTCTCTGTTTCTCTGTCTGATTTATTTATATTGATGAGGAATTTTCCGTCGAGTCTCTTTGTGAATGCCAGTGGCAAACGCAAAGCAGAAACAATTCACATATCTCAATTGAAAATCAATTAAGGCATTGAATGGCATTTAGGCATTACTAAATAGACTTCAAATGTACACAAAAAACAGGGGAAAACTCAATCAAATACGATGGCAGAATTAAAGCCAACAAATTCCCAGAAATTTAATCATTTTAAGTAGCAATTTGCGACATCACTTGGCCATCGTCGACTCTGGTCACATGTAGTTTAATTCAACGGGTACCGAACCGATTCTACTATCTGTCTGATCCTTGTTGCTGCTGCTGGTACTGCTGCATGAAATTCCTCTGGCAGTTAAATTGTTGCTGAAGAAGTGCCATAAAAAGCGTTTTATGGCGCGACGGTTTGTAATTAAAATCTCACACGCGCACTCGCTCCCGGTCGCTCCCTGGAACTGGCTCTGCAAATACATACATGTAGTATACGTGATGTGAGTGAACTCTTAGCCAAATGCCCAATGATGCGAATTTTAAATGCATTTTGTGTCTTTTAATTAAATGGCTACAATTTGTATTGCCATCATTGCATTTAAGTGTGGTCGCTGCCTCACACTTACCCTTTGATGCAATGATAAATCTTGTTCTGCCGTTTTTTGTGGTATTTTTGTTAGTTTTAACTACCGCTTACATGGTGGAACATTGTCTGTGGCCGGAATATGACACTTGATTTATGGCCATTTGTTTTTCGCTTTCCAAACAGGCTCATAAATACACCAGAAATGGCATAACAAATGGCAAATAGTGAGTAACAAATGGCATATGGCGCTGGCCCAAAATGTGTAAAGAGTCCATTCTAGTTCCATTTAAAGGAGTCGAGTCCACGTTATGCAACGCTCAGTGCAGTGACTGCAGGATGGCTAATTTCACTGCGCTACCATCATTGTGCCGCTTTGGTACTGCGTATACTTAATATTGTCTGCGGTAAATAACGGCAACGAGATTTGGTCTCTTCGTATTTGGAGAGTGCGGAGCGTAAGCAATATCCGTTAACGCTTTTTCGTTTCACTTCTCCCCACTCGAGAGTTCGAGAACTCGAGTTCCCTGTTGTTTCTTTGCTGTGCGCTTGCCTTGGTACGGGTCCATGTCCGGTACCGCCGATAAGCCGCCTTTATTGGAAAAGTTTGAATCAAGGCAGCCCCCGGCATTTGACACTTATTTAAATTTATATCCGCACAAATTGTGCTGCGGCTCCTGCTCTAGCTGCGCTTGTTGCATTTTAATTAGAAGCGACGATGCAATACACACAGCCACGGCCAATCGCTATGCAAAGCAGCAGGCGTATAAATAACACTCATAAATCCCAGATCAGGAGCTGCGGAGTGGCCACAATTTGACATCTTGTGGTCACGCCTGTACAGGCTCTGACAACTGCGGGTGGTATTTCATTCACAGAAAATTCATTAACATTTACAAACGTTTCATTTTTAATGAACTGAATAATCTGGGCGGCTAGCCTGACCTCTCGCCAGCCCATAAATAATTCCTCACTTTCGCACAACCCCACGCCGTCCCATAAATCTTTAAATCTTGTTTAAAAATTACACAGAAATTTCTCATGCGTATTTATATGCAAATTA